TAGGATTTTTTTGTTGTTTTTACACGAGCAGCATAAATAGACCACACAGGAAGAAGCCCCTCCTCAGTTACACTTCAGTTCAGCTTGGTGTTCAGACAGTCAACATGGAGGTCGGCGCGCTCTGCATCAAACTCTGTGAGTACGATTGGTTAAAACTAAAGAGTGTAGTCGTTCAAGGTTAGGATGGTAATGATGGTTTAATGCAGAGGGTTCTCTTGGGGCTTGGAAAGACTTTCAGGTTCAGAATATTTATATGAGGTTTTTGGCCTGAAAGATAAAAATGTAAAAGTCAAACATCAAAGGCAGCTTTAGGAGCTGTAAGAATCAGTTGAATATACGACTGTTAAAACACGTCTCACTCAATGTGGAGCTCTTCTCTTTTGTTATTCCAGTGGTCCACGTGTTATTCCTGCTGTGTGCACATGTTCAGGACGCTGGTAAGTACCAGGCTGATGCTTAGTTGTATTTTAACTTCAGTTGGTACTTTCTGGTGAAATAAGAGAACACGTCTTTCTATGGTTTGTTTCAGATTCACTGATTCTCCGTCTTGAACCAAACAGACTGCAGTTCTTTGAATACGAGTCTCTGATCTTCCATTGTGAGGGCTCTCATGACTCGACTGGATTGAAAATTGTACATCGGTCCAAAGGGGAATTAGTAGAATGTAACACTACAGTGACATCAAAAAGGTCATCCTGCACTATTCCTAATATTTTTCCAGAGGACAGTGGGCAATACTGGTGTGAGTCCAGAGATGGGAAGAGAAGCGACATCATCCACATCAATGTTACTGGTATGTTTGCATTAAGACGAGATCTTTACATGCACTCATCTATGTGTGATATAAAATATGAACCACATGTTGTTCAGATGGTCCTGTGATCCTGGAGAGTCCCATCAGTGTGGTAGAGGGAGAGGCTGTGACTCTGCGCTGCAGACGCAAGACGACCTCATCCAACCTCTGAGCTGATTTCTACAAAGATGGCCGCCTCATCAGAAAAAGCTCTACAGGAAACCTGAGCATCTCCAGTGTTTCCAAACGTGATGAAGGATTCTACAAGTGTATCTCTGGAGGAAGAGAATCAGCCGAGAGTCTGATGGCTGTTCAAGGTGAGACACATCAGTGTTACCAAATTAAATTGAAAAATATGTTTGATATAACTATGTGTTGAAACAGTATATTGATTGATTTGAAAAGGACAGCGTACATTAATCATCATACAGACGGATGTAAATGTACTTCCATGTGGGATGGGTCTTATAAATGACCTGACACGAAAATAAAATATGAATTTATTGATGTACCCAAGTTAGCAGAAGGCTAATTTTTGGCTCACATCCTCTTCATCCCTTTGTAGGTTACCCAGTGAATCTGTGGTCTCATACAGACAATGATTCATGAGTTTTAACAAACTTGAATTGTGCACGATTGAACTGCATACTTTACATTAATATTAAAAGTTGAAACGTTCAGGTTTAAAATCTTAATTTTTCTTCTAATCTTTCAATCCATCCAAACCTAAAATCCTCTGTCATTGTTTACTTCATTACTTTGTGATTACATTCCAGACATCCAGGGAGAGAATGCCTCATCCTGTTCTACCCCTTGGATAGTTATGACTGTTTTATCGATTCTGTTGTTGCTGGTTGGACTTCTTCATTTCGGCAACTATATTCAGAACAAAGGTACAAACACATTTCACTAACGAGAGGCACTTATAGTGATTGATGGGTCACAGTCCCCGTGGAATATTTGCATTTTACATTTGTTGAATGTATTTAATGGATGAATGGGCAGGTTAATAACAGTGGGGTCTTGAACACAGCTTATGGATTCTAAAGGCCCTGACACACCAAGGAGATCGCCGGCCGTCAGTCCTAGTTGCAAATTGCATATTTTTAAACCAGGAAGTGGCGTTATATTTTCACCATGTCTCAATGTCTTCCTGGTTTCCTGTTCATAGTGTTTTTTTTTCATTTCATGCACTGCAATGTTGCTGTACTTGTCCACACTTGCACCTCAATCAGGCACAGCTGATGCTCAAACAGGTAAGAACAGGTACCATGAGCATGTTCAGGTAAACTTGTACTTAAAATAAAGGAGTGATAGATTTTTTAAAAAGCAGCCTGCTCGTTTTATCGACGATAATCAGAGCAAATGTCCTTTGAAGTGTGAAAAGGGAAATCTGTTGTCCTTCGGTCCTCATTAGAAAAAGACAAATTATTTAATTACTGTAATTCAAAACTCATTTTCTTTGGAGAAATAGAAAATGTTCAGTTTGTTGATATAATTGCTCAACTTTGAAATCCGTATATATTTTGAATGCCTGTGTAATGTATCGATGTGGATTCTTATCACACATTTGTATTTTCAGTCACTGTTGAGGCCCGTCGAGTGTCAGCAGATGCACCAAGCGACCAAGTGATGTATGCTGCGATTACAATAGACAGAACAAAGAGAGGTACCTCACCTGACAGTTTATCCTGTCACGGTTCATTTCACAGTCACGATTCTCCATCCTATGTCTTGATCTTAAACACCTTTCCTTTTGAACCTGGGGTCGTTTAACAACATTAAATGACTACTTCATGTGTCTGTATCTCAAGGCCATGAAATGGACAAAAAATTTTTTATTAATCCCTGAGGGAAATACAACATACATACAAAACATACATGGTCTAAAATGATGTTGAAGACTTTAAGCAGGGTTATTTTACCTTTTCAAACATAATGGTGAAGTTCTTCACAGAGAAACAAAAAAAAAGCTTATTTCTATATGAGATTTAAAATAGTCGTCAAGATGAATTCACCTGCAGACATATTTTCTGATAAAGTCTACAGAGAAGTGAAATGTACACTTCAGATTCAAACACTGAGAATATGCATAACACAGCACTTTGTAAACTACAAATAAAGTTATTATTATTGATTATTGTTACTTAAAAAGTCAATTATCCAAGCTTGGATTTAATGCCTAATGGTTTAATACAGTTAACAGACATAGAACAGGGCGTCATCTGCATATTGATGAATAATAAATCACACACGAGAGGTAGCAGGATGTAGGAAAGTTTTAACAAATAGGATTCAAACCTAAGCCTCGTAGAACCCAAAATAACAGGATAGCAAAAGATCAGAAAGGTTAAAGCAAAGAATTCCTTTCATTTAATCAAAATCAAATCAAAAATGTGTTAAATAAGGTGAAACGTTTCAAGCTTAAACAAGGAGGCTATAACCGTAGCTTAGACTAAACTCCACTTTGGGTGACCCAAGTGACACTCAACAACTGGGTGAGACTTATTGTAATAAAAACGTAAAATAAATCGTGCCTGATGTTCCAGTGTTCTAGTAAGTATTTTGGCAACTCTGTGGAATAATTAAATATAAACTCAAAACAGAGCAAGGAGTATCCAGAACCATGACGGCGACAGTTCACTCAGCTGGTACCAACCGACCTTTGACACAGGAACCCCTCTATTCTTTGATCAAGTAGGTAAGACTCAGGACATTACTGACATTCATATCTGGTAGGATGGACAGCAGAACTTCGAACATGACCCATATTTACAGCTTTCAAACGTCTATGTCACTGGACGTTGATGTTCAACCAAAGCACCACTTAAGGCAGCATTTCCTACATGCTTCAGTTCAATCTTTAGCTGTCATGCTTCTCAGAATGATACGACCCGTGTTTTTTTATATCAATGTGGTATGCTCAGAACTGTTAACCCTTTCTGTCTTCAGGTCGCAGCGTGACTGCTGAATGAAGGACGAGCAGCACATGAGATGTTTGGTTGAACCTGATGTGTGAAAAAACACTTTTTATTTTATTTTGCATTGTAGAAATGGTTTTCATGCTTTGCGCCCTACATGTGTTGATGTTTAAAGATATATTAAAGAGATGTGGTTTGTACTTTCAGATGTATTATCTGTTATTATTTAGTGACAGTTAAACCCACATGTTCCATCTGCTGTGTGTATTTTCGTGAGTGTGAAACTGTGGTCAACCACCACCTTGATGCTGCAGCTTCACTTTCATCTGAAGCACGCTGATTGTGTCCAAATAAAGAAATGATTCTGACACTTTAAGTCTAACGTGGTTGTCAATGTCATACATGAGAAGAAAGAAAATAACTGTGCCATTAAAGAAGTGTACTGGTGTTTATTCTTTCATGCAAACAGTATTTTCTCAGGGTCTTCTTATCAGCAATCCCGATTCATATTCAACATGTTCAACAAAAATGTCTTTTTGAGTGGACAGTAACGGTAGTAGCTCTCAAATGCTTTGAGCTGAATGCTATTACAATGCAAGCTAATATGTTCAAAATTACCATGCTAACATGCTAATGCTAATTAGATCAAATATTTCACTGTCTCTACGAAAAGATGAGTTTCACCATCTGGGGACTGAATGTCTGAACAGAATCTGAAGTAAACCCAGGACCTTCCAGAAAAGAGTTCTTGATTCTGATTGGCTGGCAGTGGTACGTATAGTTCTAGAAGAGTTCACAAGTGGGAAGGGTTTGAAGGTGGCAGGTTTTTTACTTTTTGTCACAGAAACAAAAGAAAAAGCTTTGAATGAATTAAAAATCAGATCTTCTTTATGGGTTCTCACTGTGAATAAAACGGTTGTTTTAACCTTTAATTTGTATCCACCATTGGACTCAGGACAATATTTAGCATGTGTTTTCCTTTGTGAACATTACTTTGTCTACCAAACAAGGTGTTGGAAATAGATTGGTCACCTTGCTTTGTGTAGCCACGAGCATTTTAAGTCACCAATGCCATTTTTTAGTTTCTACCTCCAACATAAAAAAATCTGAGACACTATTCCTGAACAAACCTAATTTAGTATAGCTGGTTATTAATGGGTTAATGTTGGTACAACACTAACAATGAGTCCCCACTGCTGTACAATGACCACACTGCATGAAAAGAAGACACAAAAGAAACTTCCATCACATATCTTTAATAAAAATGTGAGCTGTTGTTACAGAGAGACAGACATGTTTTGCATTGTTGTTGATCTAAAAACATTCAGTGGAATATTACAGTTTAAATGTTCATGTTACCATCACAAATGTTCGTATTATATGTTGATATTTTATTTAGATATGAGCAGGAAGTGAAGCTCCGCGCTGCACCTGCTGATTGCTTGGGCAGCACATGATGTGGGTTTTATAGACAATTTTAATCTCGGGTCTTTTTTTAACAGTGACGGTGTTCACACAAACATTATGGGCTCACAGACTTTACGTATGACAGGTGCTCTATAAATAACGCTGAGATGAGTTGTGGCTCGTGGGTCAGGGTTAGAGAAGACGTGGTCTCAGATGTGAATATTAAATATAGAAAGACACTGAAACAAACTGTGCACAATGTTATTTGACTTGTGATATCTTCAGGTCCTTATACAGAAGAAGAACGAACTTCTGTTGAACATTCATCAACATCTGAATTAAATATGTGAAACCTGTCAAACAGGAAGTGCTGCCATTTTCTTTGATCTGCTCATTTCAAAACATTTCTATGGATTGGATTCTTTAAGCTGATTAAAAATGTTTTCATTGGTTTGCACAACATGCACTGAATTTAAGTGGATCATCATTACATATAATGAACAAGGTGCACTATAACAAGGAAGACAGCAGCTGAGTAGCTGAATGAAGCATTATGGGATGCTCTTCATTTCTGGCAACCAAACAAGACTTTGGAGAAAATGTCTGTTTTTGTTGTTCATCCCGTCGTATCCTTTATTTCAGTATCTCCATCTCGATTTGAGTGCACAAGGTGCTGTTGTTTACCTGTGGGTTTACCTCGGAGTTATCCCACAGTGGAGCCGTCCCAGCAGCAGCAAAGCCATCAATACTACAGGGAGAACGTTTCTGAAGATGATGAACGGAAGCTCTGAGGACTCATGAATCTCTTGGTGTGATTCTGCAAAGAAGACAGAAATAGAAATAATGCACGCCTTCTCGTGGTGTAAAGTTCGATTACAATTCTCTTGAATCTTTGTCAATATGAGACCACAGATTCACAGGGTAACCTACAAAGGGATGAAGAGGATGTGAGCCAAAAATGAGCCTTTGGCTAACTTGGGTACATGAATTAAACCATATTTTATTTTCGTGTCAGGTCATTTATAAGACCCATCCCACATGGAAGTACATTTACATCCCTCTGTATGTTGATTAATGTACGCTGTCCTTTTCAAATCAATCAATATACTGTTTCAACACATCGTTATATCACATGTATTTTTAAATTTGATTTGGTAACACTGATGTGTCTCACCTTGGACAGCCATCAGACTCTCGGCTGATTCTCTTCCTCCAGAGATACACTTGTAGAATCCTTCATCACGTTTGGAAACACTGGGGATGCTCATGTTTCCTGTAGAGCTTCTACTATTATTGTGGCCATCTTTGTAGAAATCAGCTGAGAGATTGGTAGAGGTCGTCTTGTGTCTGCAGCGCAGAGTCACAGTCTCTCCCTCCACCACACTGATGGGACTCTCCAGGATCACAGGACCATCTGAACAACATGAGGTTCATATTTTATATCACACAAAGATGAGTGCATGTAAAGATCTCGTCTTCATGCAAACATACCAGTAACAGTGATGTGGATGATGTCGCTTCTCTTCCCATCTCTGGACTCACACCAGTATTGCCCACTGTCCTCTGGAAAAATATAAAGGAATAGTGCAGAATGACCTTTTTGATGTCACTGTAGTTCCTACATTTGAGTAATTCCCCTTTGGATTGATGTACAATTTTCAATCCAGTCGAGTCATGAGAGCCCTCACAATGGAAGATCAGAGAATCGTAGTCAAAGAACTGCAGTCTGTTTGGTTCAAGACGGAGAATCAGTGAATCTGAAACAAACCAAAGAAAGACATGTTCTCTTATGTCATACAAAATACAAAATGAAGCATTTGAACAATAATTCTAATAAAAATTTAATAAATATTTTAAAAACTTAACGGTACATACCCACATTTTGAACATGTGCACCCAGCAGGAATAACACACAGATCACTGGAAAGAAGAAGAGTTGTATGTTAGATCTCATAAAAACAGGTACGGAAATATCTATGAAACAGATAAAGAATCATACTCACACAGCCTGATGTTAAGAGCACAGACCTCCATGTTGACTCTCTGAACATATGACTGAAGCGTCCTCGAGGTGAGAATTTCTGCTGCTAATGCGATACATGGTTTGTGGTTAGGGTTGAAAATATTTCCCCACAGACCCCTCCTTATGTGTCGCCTCCGCCTCTTCTGGCTGAGAACGCCAGCACCATTTTCAAATTTTTATCAGGCGAGTATAGTTAAACCCTGATGATGCAAACATCCAAAACAGAACTTATTACGTGAATGGTTGGTTATAACCACCTTTTTAATTTATAACTGCATTTGATGAATATCTGTGGTGAAAAAAACAAAACAAGAAGAAACCAAGACCACTGAAAATCTTTAAAACAGGAAGTGGCGTTATTGTTTCATCATGTCTCAATGCCTTCCTGGTTCCCTGTTCATAGTGTTTTTTTAATTTCATGCACTGCAGTGTTGCTGTACTTGTCCACACTGGCACCTTAGACAGGCACAACTGAGGTTCAAACAGGTAAGAATCGGTACCATTAGCATGTTCAGGTAAACTTGCGCTTAAAACAAAGGAGTGATAGATTTTTTAAAAAGCAGCCTGCTCGTCTTATCGACAATAATCAGAGCAAATGTCCTTTGAAGTGTGAAAAGGTAAATCTGTTGTCCTTCGGTCCTCATTAGAAAAAGACAAATTATTTAATATATATATATATTTGATGCCTGTGTGCTGTATCGGTGTGGATTCTTATCACACATTTGTATTTTCAGTCACTGTTGAGGCACGTCGAGTGTCAGCAGATGCATCAAGTGACCAAGCGATGTATGCTGCGATTACAAAAGACAGGACAAAGAGAGGTAAGTCACTTGATAGTTTATCCTGTCACGGTTCATTACACATTCACGATTCTCCATCCTATGTCTTGATATTAAACTCCTTTCCTCTTGAACCTGGGGTAGTTTAACAACATTAAATGACTACTTCATGAGTCTTTATCTCAAGGCCATGAAATGGACAGAAATATTTTTTTGATATCCTTTATTAATCCCTGAGGGAAATACAACATACATACAATACATACATGATCTAAAATGATGTTGAAGACTTTAAGCAGGGTTATTTTATCTTTTTAAACATAATGGTGAAGTTCTTCACTGAGAAATAAAAACAGCTTTTTTCTGTATGAGATTTAAAGTAGTCGTCAAGGTGAATTCAGCTGCAGACATATTCTCTGATAAAGTCTACAGAGAAGTGAAAAGTACACGACAGATTCATACACTGAGAATATGCATAACATAGCACTTTGCAAACTACAAATAGAGTTATTATTATTGATTATTGTAACTTAAAAAGTCAAATATTCAAGCTTGGATTTAATGCCTGATGGTTTAATACAGTTAACAGACATAGAACAGGGCGTCATCTGCATATTGATGAATAGTAAATCACACACATTAGAGGTAGCAGGATTTAGGAAAGTTTTAACAAATAGGATTCAAACCTAAGCCTCGTAGAACCCAAAATAACAGGATAGCAAACAATCAGAAAGGTTAAAGCAAAGAATTCCTTTCATTTCATCAAAATGTTCAAATACTTTAGAAACTGTGTTAAATAAGGTGAAACGTTTCAAGCTTAAACAAAGACGCCATAACTGTAGCTTAGACTAAACTCCACTTTGGGTGACCCAAGTGACACTCAACAACTGGGTGAGACTTATTGTAATATAAACATAAACTAAATGTTGCCTGATGTTCAAGTGATCTAGTAAGTAAGTAAGTATTTTGGCAACACTGTGGGATAATTCAATCTATACTCAAAACAGAGCAAGGAGTATCCAGAATCATGACGGCGACAGTTCACTCAGCTGGTACCAACCAACCTTTGACACAGGAACCCCTCTATTCTTTGATCCAGTAGGTAAGACTCAGGACATTACTGACATTCATGTCTGGTAGGATGGACAGCAGAGGTTAGAACATGACCCATATTTACAGCTTTCAAACGTCACTGGACGTTGATGTTCAACCAAAGCACCTCTTAAGGCAGCATTTCCTACATGCTTCAGTTCAAACTTTAGCTGTCATGCTTCTCAGAATGATACGACCCGTGTTTCATATAAATGTGGTATGCTCAGAACTGTTAACCCTTTCTGTCTTCAGGTCGCAGCGTGACGGCTGAATGAAGGACGAGCAGGACATGAGATGTTTGGTTAAACCTGATGTGTGAAAAAACACTTTTTATTTTATTTTGCATTGTATAATTGGTTTTCATGCTTTACAGAGTCAAATCTGAGACACTATTACTGAACAAACCTAATTTAGTATAGCTGGTAATTAATGGGTTAATGTTGGTACAACACTAACAATGAGTTCCCCCTGCTGTACAACGACCACACTGCATAAAAAGAAGACACAAAAGAAACTTCCATCACACATCTTTAATAAAAATGTGAACTGCTGTTACAGAGAGACAGACATATTTTGCATTGTTGTTGATATAAAAACATTCAGTGGAATATTACAGTTTAAATGTTCATGTTACCATCACAAATGTTCGTATTATAGGTCGATATTTTATGCAGATATGAGCAGGAAGTGAAGCTCTTAGCCCGTTATAGCTGCTTCATCCGGGGTGCTGGTCTAACCACACTGATCTAACCTTACCCTTAGAATGTTGATTAACTGACGCCCACATCCTCACAATGTTTCTTTAATCAACTCATTCACTTTGTTGTGAATAAATATGAGTACCTCCTAGTCTCCTCCCGTCATTTGTCTCCCGTGTTTTCAGTCAGCCCCAAACTGAGGGTTCCTGTAATATAACTGAACCTCATTAGTCCGCGTGGTTCTGTAGCTTCTCGCAAAGTCTTTGTCGACTTCTCCGGCCTCTGATTGTCAAACAAATGCACGTTGGCCATCAGGGGGAGGAGCAGCACAAATTCCAACATATTGTTGCTTAAAGACAATTACAAAGATGGCGTACTGTCAGCTGTAGAATATATCAAGAATTAGAGGACATGTGTCCCAGCAGGACTTGGAAAACGCTGAAAGTCGTCCTATTGTTGCTGTAAAACTGTGTGGACGGTTCTATTGCAGGTTGTTTCAGGCTCACAGCAGCAACACCTGACCATCAAATGACTAAAGTGACCGAAGGATGAGGGCTTATAGTTTCAGCTCTGACACTGCCTTGCAGGTGTGTCTGCAGATATCTTGAGTTTATATTTTTAACAGCTGACCTTTTTATTTCAAACTGCCTGACGTTACGTGTTCGTATCAATGTTTTCACATCATAGCAGTCCGCTTTGTTCTTTGGCTCAGCCCAATGACGCTAATCTATCAACTGAGGTGTTACCACCACCACAGCAGCTCAGTCAGTGTGAAGTTCATTTTGAAAAAAATCTAAGTGTCAAACTTGGATTTTTTTTGTTGTTACACGAGCAGCATAAATAGACCACACAGGAAGAAGCCCCTCCTCATTTACACTTCAGTTCAGCTTGGTCTTCAGACAGTCAACATGGAGGTCGGCATGCTCTGCATCAAACTCTGTGAGTACGATTGGTTAAAACTAAAGAGTGTAGTCTTTCAAGGTTAGGATGGAAATGATGGTTTAATGCAGAGGATGCTCTTTGGGGTTGGAAAGACTTTCAGGTTCAAAATATTTATATGAGGTTTTTGCCCTGAAAGAAAAAAATGTAAAAGTCAAACATCAAAGGCAGCTTTAGGAGCTGTAAGAATCAGTTGAATATACGACTGTTAAAACACGTCTCACTCAATGTGGAGCTCTTCTCTTTTGTTATTCCAGTGGTCCACGTGTTATTCCTGCTGTGTGCACATGTCCAGGACGTTGGTAAGTACCAGGTTGATGCTCAGTTCTATTTTAACTTCAGTTGGTACTTTCTGGTGAAATAAGAGAACATGTCTTTCTTTGGTTTGTTTCAGATTCACTGATTCTCCGTCTTGAACCAAACAGACTGCAGTTCTTTGAATACGAGTCTCTGATCTTCCATTGTGAGGGCTCTCATGACCCGACTGGATTGAAAATTGTACATTGGTTTAAAGGGGAATTAGTCAAATGTAACACTACAGTGACATCAAAAAGGTCATCCTGCACTATTCCTTATATTTTTCCAGAGGACAGTGGGCAATACTGGTGTGAGTCTGGAGATGGGAAGAGAAGCGACATCATCCACATCACTGTTACTGGTATGTTTGCATTAAGACGAGCTCTTTACATGCACTCATCTTTGTGTGATATAAAATATGAACCACATGTTGTTCAGCTGGTCCTGTGATCCTGGAGAGTCCCATCAGTGTGGTGGAGGGAGAGACTGTGACTCTGCGCTGCAGACACAAGACGACCTCAACCAATCTCTCAGCTGATTTCTACAAATATGGCCACCTTATCAGAAGAAGCTCTACAGGAAACATGACCATCCCCAGTGTTTCCAAACGTGATGAAGGATTCTACAAGTGTAGCATCTCTGGAGGAAGAGAATCAGCCGAGAGTCTGATGGCTGTCCAAGGTGAGACACATCAGTGTTACCAAATCAAATTGAAAAATACGTGTGATATAACTATGTGTTGCACCTGAAGCAGATTATATTGATTGATTTGAAAAGGACAGCGTACATTAATCATCATACAGAAGGATGTAAATGTACTTCCATGTGGGATGGGTCTTATAAATGACCTGACACAAAAATGAAATATGAATTTTTTATGTACCCAAGTTAGCCAAAGGCTAATTTTTGGCTCACATCCTCTTCATCCCGTTATAGTTTACCCAGTGAATCTTTGGTCTCATACTGACAATGATTCAAGAGAATTGTGCTAGAACTTTACATCACTGTTACTGGTATGTTTGCATTAAGACGAGACATTTACATGCACTCATCTTTGTGTGATATAAAATATGAACCACATGTTGTTCAGCTGGTCCTGTGATCCTGGAGAGTCCCATCAGTGTGGTGGAGGGAGAGGCTGTGACTCTGCGCTGCAGACACAAGACGACCTCTACCAATCTCTCAGCTGATTTCTACAAAGATGGCCACCTTATCAGAAGAAGCTCTACAGGAAACCTGAGCATCCCCAGTGTTTCCAAACGTGATGAAGGATTCTACAAGTGTATCTCTGGAGGAAGAGAATCAGCCGAGAGTCTGATGGCTGTCCAAGGTGAGACACATCAGTGTTACCAAATCAAATTTAAAAATACGTGTGATATAACTGTGTTGAAACAGTATATTGATTGATTTGAAAAGGACAGCGTCCATTAATCAACATACAGACGGATGTAAATGTACTTCCATGTGGGATGGGTCTTGTAAATTACTTGAAACGAAAATAAAATATTTATTCATTCATGTACCCAAGTTAGCCAAAGGCTAATGCTTGTCTTACATCCTCTTCATCCCTTTATAGGTTACCCAGTGAATCTGTGGTCTCATATTGACAATGATTCAAGAGTTTTAACAAACTTGAATTGTGCACGATTAAACTGCATACTTTACATTAATAGTAAAAGTTGAAACGTTCAGGTTTAAAATTTTTTCTTCTAATCTTTCAATCCAATCCAAACCTAAAATCCTCTGTCATTGTTTACTTCATTACTTTGTGATTACATTACAGACAACCAGGGAGAGAATGCCTCATCCTTTTCCACCCCATGGATAGTTATGACTGTTTTATCGATTCTGTTGTTGCTGGTTGGACTTCTTCATTTCGGCAAATATATTCGGAACAAAGGTACAAACACATTTCACTAACGAGAGGCGCTTATAGTGATTGATGGGTCACAGTCTCCGTGGAATATTTGCATTTTACGTTTGTTTAATGTATTTAATGGATGAATTGACCCGTTAATAACAGCGGGGTCTTAAACACAGCTTATGGATTCTAAAGGCCCTGACACACCAAGGAGATCGTCGGCCATCAGTCCTAGTTGCAAATTGCACATTTTTAAACCAGGAAGTGGCGTTATTGTTTCATCATGGGACTTTGAAATCTCTATATATTTTTAATGCCTGTGTAATGTATCGATGTGGATTCTTATCACACATTTGTAGTTTCAGTCACTGTTGAGGCCCGTCGAGTGTCAGCAGATGCACCAAGCGACCAAGTGATTTATGCTGCGGTTACAATAGACAGCACAAAGAGAGGTACGTCACTTGACAGTTTATCCTGTCACGGTTCATTTCACAGTCACGATTCTCCATCCTATGTCTTGATCTTAAACTCCTTTCCTCTTGAACCTGGGGTAGTTTAACAAAATTAAATGACTACTTCATGTGTCTGTATCTCAAGGCCATGAAATGGACAGAAATAATTTTTTGATATTCTTTATTAATCCCTGAGGGAAATACAACATACATACAAAACATACATGGTCTAAAATGATATTGAAGACTTTAGGCAGGTTTTTTTATCTTTTCAAACATAATGGTGAAGGTCTTCACTGATAAACAAAAACAGCTTATTTCTATATGAGATTTAAAATAGTTGTCAAGGTGAATTCAGCTGCAGACATATTCTCCGATAAAGTCTACAGAGAAGTGAAATGTACACTACAGATTCAAACACTGAGAATATGCATAACATAGCACTTTGTAAACTACAAATAAAGTTATTATTATTGATTATTGTAACTTAAAAAGTCAATTATCCAAGCATGGGTTTGATGCCTAATGGTTTAATACAGTTAACAGACATAGAACAGGGCGTCATCTGCATATTGATGAATAATAAATCACACACAAGAGGTAGCAGGATTTAGGAAAGTTTTAACAAATAGGATTCAAACCTAAGCCTCCAAGAACCCAAAATAACAGGATAACAAAAGATCAGAAAGGTTAAAGCAAAGAATTCCTTTCATTTCATCAAAATATTCAAATACTTTAGAAAATGTGCTAAATAAGGTGAAACGTTTCAAGCTTAAACAAGGAGGCTATAACCGTAGCTTAGAATGAACTTCACTTTGGGTGACCCAAGTGACACTAAACAACTGGGTGAGACTTATTGTAATAAAAACATAAACTAAATGGTGCCTGATGTTCAAGTGTTGTAGTAAGTATTTTGGCAACACTGTGAGAAAATTCAATCTATACTCAAAACAGAGCAAGGAGTATCCAGAGTAATGACGGCGTCAGTTCACTCAGCTGGTACCAACCGACCTTTGACACAGGAACCCCTCTATTCTTTGATCAAGTAGGTAAGACTCAGGACATTACTGACATTCATATCTGGTAGGATGGACAGCAGAGGTTAGAACATGACCCATATTTACAGCTTTCAAACGTCTATGTCACTGGACGTTGATGTTCAACCAAAGCACCACTTAAGGCAGCATTTCCTACATGCTTCGGTTCAAACTTTAGCTGTCATGCGTCTCAGAATGATACGACCCGTGTTTTTTACATTAACTGTGGTATGCTCAGAACTGTTAACCCTTTCTGTCTTCAGGTCGCAGCGTTACGGCCGACTGAAGGACAAGCAGCACATGAGACGTTTGGTTGACCCTGAAAACACTTTTTATTTTATTTTGCATTGTAGAAATTGTTTTCATGCTTTGCACCCTACATGTGTTGATGTTTAAAGATATTTTAAAGAGCTGTGGTTTGTATTTTCAGATGTATTATCTGTTATTATTTGCTGACAGTTAAACCCACATGTTCCATCTGCTGTGTGTATTTTCGTGAGTGTGAAACTGTGGTCAACCACCACCTTGATGCTGCAGCTTCACTTTCATCTGAAGCACGCTGACCGAGTCCAAATAAAGAAATGAGTTTGACACTTTAAGTCTAACGTGATTGTAAATGTCATACATGAGAAGACAGAAAATAACTGTGCCATTAAAGAAGTGTACTGGTGTTTATTCTTTCATGCAAACAGTATTTTCTCAGGGTCTTCTTATCAGCAATCCTGATTCATATTCAACATGTTCAATAAAAACGTCTTTTTGAGTGGACAGTAACGGTAGTAGCTCTCAAATGCTTTGAGCTGAATGCTATTACAATGCAAGCTAATATGTTCAAAATTACCATGCTAACATGCTAATGCTAATTAGATCAACTATTTCACTCTCTTTACGAAAAGATGAGTTTCACCATCTGGGGACTGAATGTCTGAACAGAATCTGAAGTAAACCCAGGACCTTCGAGAAAAGAGTTCTTGATTCTGATTGGCTGGCAGCGGTACGTATAGTTCTAGAAGAGTTCACAAGTGGGAAGGGTTTGAAGGTGGCAGGTTTTTGACTTTTGTCACAGGAAAAAAATGAAAAAGCTTTGAATGAATTAAAAATCAGATCTTCTTTATGGCTTCTCACTGTGAATAAAACGGTTGTTTTAACCTTTAATTTGTATCCACCATTGGACTCAGAACAATATTTAGCATGTGTTTTCCTTTGTGAACATTACTTTGTCTACCAAACAAGGTGTTGGAAATAGATTGGTCACCTTGCTTTGTGTAGCCACGAGCATTTTAAGTCATCAATGGGGTAATACGGAAATATCTATGAAACAGATAAAGAATCATACTCACACGGCCTGATGTTAAGAGCACTGACCTCCATGTTGACTCTCTGAACATATGACTGAAGTTTAAGCCATTACTAGACAACATAGTGACTTAAAGTGTTTCACTCAAAGTCTTTATGAACTACACACATGTAACTATTTTCAGGGGACAGGGAACAACAGGGCACATCCATGTGCAGTCAAAGACAGACACAACATCAACTTTAGGTAACACAGAACTTGACTTGCTCAATGCAAAGAAGACGGAAACACAGCAGGACTTTGCAGCGAGCCCAACCATCCAAGATTTGGATGAGAAAAAAGCCAGTCTTGATGTAAAGTTTAATGAAATGGAGGACTAAAACAGAGATTTGTTGGTGCTGATTAATTTATTAATGAATTATAATAAGGATCTGGAGGACCAAAGAAAGCACTGTAAAGCAAATCAGCAAGAGATCCAAAGACAGAACAGCCAGAATCATCACGTGTTAGAAAAAGTTTTTATTAAACAGAATGGAGAGAGTTACGTGAAATACTCCGAGGATAATGAGAGAGACATGATCATGAAGCCCATATTAACTATGGTTGATCAATTGATGGAGAAGAAGCAGCGTTTGACCAGTAGGATGGGTGACATTATTAAACAACAGGGTAAGATTGAAGAGCAGAAAGATAAAATAAAAACCAAACTGAAGTAAGAAGTTTCAAAGATATAATTTAAAAAAGGTCATACCCTCGAGAAATGTAAGAAAAACAAGCTTTTCAGTCCCCTTTCAGTTTGGACTGTTGATCTATTTAGGAATAAAGTGATTGAACAAATACGATGTTCACCCTGAGCAATGTCAATGTCAGGATGTGGCAACACTTCTCTTCACAGAGAGGTAATTATGCCCTTTAGTTTGGACTATGATTGTGATGTGTTGCTTGAGTTCACTATTTTTAATGTGCAGTGGAACATCCAGTTTTATTCTCTGATTTATATATTACAGTATACCAAACACAAACTCCTATATACGACTCTTAGCTTTCTTGTTTGTTGACTAACTGTGCATTTGGTTGGATGCTCTGATGCCGATGGTGCTGATGGTTTACAACGTTACTGTTCAGGTAAATATAACAACAGCATCGGTCATGACGTGTGAGCACAGAGACCACAGTGAAGCTCTGTGGGGACAGCAGACACAAGACAAACACGTTCCACTGTGAAGAACTGAAACCTCCAAAAATAGACTTTAGTGCTGTGAGATGTTCTCATGGTCGGCGTTTAAAGAAGTTCAGCATGAGTGTCAGGCAGGCCGTTATGAAAGTGTGGTTGTTTTAAGGCTAATACATGAGCACACACCCCTCCCCCCCAATACAAGATACCCCCCAGGGGTCAGAGTATTTCTGATTCTGATAGGATAACAACAAACCTAAAAAGATGATGTCCTCATAAGAGAGCAATCATACTTTAACTCAGTGGTTCCCAAAGTGGGCTTTGTGCCCCCCTGGGGGGGCGCGGCTAAAAGATTTGGAAGTGATCCTTTAACTTTAGCCTCCTGTGGAAGGTGTGTAGGTCCCCTCTGAGCTCCGGTCGGGTGGGTGGGTTGGGTGTGGGGATGAAGGTGAGACCTTTTCTCATATCTCCAGCTGCACGGCTGTGAGGGAGAAAACAGCACAGAGGTTGGTAATGTTGGACTGGTGGGGAGTTGCGATTTGACAGTTGACCCCAGTTACAAGTTTAATTGCTGTTTCCAGTACCTGAACAACATCTCGGCTGTGTTTGCAGTCCAATGTATGTGGTCCTTGTCTGTCTGGAAGAGTAGTGGATTTATTTCAGGTATGAAGTTATATTTGGAGGTTATTGTGTCGTTGAGTTTTGTTAGGAGTGTCTGTTTGTATTTTTCCAGTCTGGGTGAAAAGTTTATGAAGGGGATGTAAAGGGTGGCGTTGGGGAAGGTGGTCTGGCTGGTCCTCCACATAGTCTGTAGTTGTTTGAGTTGTGTGGTGGGGTCGTGTTCTGAGAGGCAGTTGTTGAGTCCGACTGAGAGTATTAACTGTGTGGTGTTGTGGCATGGGGTGAGTTTCTTAAGTATGCTGGCTGTTTGATGGAAGTTGGCTCCGGGAAAACTGTCTACCTGTATGTGTGGGTCTGTGAAAGGAGGGATCCGGGAGAGGTTGGAGTCACCTATAATGAGTGTCTTCTTCCGGACCTCCAGCGACCAGTCCTGTATCTTTCTGTGAGTGTGTGGGTGTGTGTGTGGTTCCGGCCTACTTGGGGAGCCAGGTGCTGCCACGAAGGCCCTGGTGGTATAAGAGGTGGATATCTCAGATGTTGGGGTTGTTTTCAGCTTTGGTTACTCTCTTCATCATCATCACCCTTCAGAGCAAGCAGCTCTGGCTCCCTCTGCTGGTTGTGTGGTGTGTCTGTAAGTGGAGAGGATGAGATGGTGTTACTGCAGGGTAGAACAATGTTACTGTAAGGCGGTGTCTGTTCAGTGCGGTTATTGACTGTGTGTGAAGCGGTGAAGAGGGAGGGGAGGAGGGGGCGACAGGGGCAGGCAGAGGACCCAGACGGTCGAGTGCACTCTGTGGGAGTGGATAGATCTCAACCTTCACTCGCCGTCCGGGCAATGGGGCCGTCCGGGGCAATGGGGGCTGAGTCACCCCGCCGGGCCCCAATGCCGTCGCCAACCCCCCCAACGTACAGAGACCTGAGGAAGTGGTGGGAGGAGGAGAGGAGGGGGGTGGGCTAGACTTAGGGGATGAGGAAGGTATGGTAGTGGAGAGAGGGGGGGAGGAGGAGGAGAGAGCAGGGTTAAGGTTAGGTTTAGGGGAGAGGTAGGGTGGGGTAGTAGGGGGAGGAGGAATCAAGCGAGGGGAGGAAGAAGGGGGACGACACAGGTTCGGGTTAGGGGGGAGGGGGGTAAGGCAGGACAGGGGAGGAGGAGGAGGGAGGCCAGGTAGGAATAGGTAGGAGAGGAGGGCGAGGGAGGTTACGGTGGGTGGTAGATGGACCTGCTGGTTGGGAGAGTGGAGGAAAGTCCAGAGGGGAGAGCTGAGGCACAGGAGGGCCCTCCTCGCTCCGGGGCCCCCTGGTTAGGAGGTCCCTAAGAGTGGAGACGGAGGAGGATGTGAATGTCTTCCCATACCTCACTGGAAGCACTATCCAAGGCCTTCTGGGTTAGATTAGGGTTAGGGTTAGGGAAAAGGGGTAATGGCCCAAACTGCTACCCCTAGCATGTTTAGGGTTAAACTCTCATTCATTACCAACATTTACACATTTAGCTGTTTTATTCAGTTATTGAAATTTGAGATTACAACATATTCCAAATGTCTACTATAACACATTATTTAGATATTCAACCTTACATCACTTCCTACATCTCTCTGGTTTCAAACAAGCTTTTTAAAATGATTAAAACCAGCAGGTGAATGCAGAAGTGAAACAAAGCTCAAACAGTCAAACTTCTACGTATTCTCTTTCTATGAAAGACTGTTCCCCCAGTTCAACCATGCTGCTCTTTCCTTTTGTTTGACTTTCCACAGCACACCTCGCTCACCATACCTTCACTCATGCATACACCCTTACAAGGTCGATTAGCTGACGTCCACATCCTCACAATCCTTCTTTAATCGACGCATTCACTTTGTTGTGAATAAATATGACATACTTTTGTGAGAACCTCCTAGTCTCCTCCCGTCATTTTGTCTCCCGTGTTTTCAGTCAACCCCAAACTGAGGGTTCCTGTAATATAACTGAACCTCATCAGTCCGCAAAGTCTTTGATTGTCATACAAATGCACGTTGGCCATGAGGGGGAGGAGCAGCACAAATTCCAACATATTGTTGCTTAAAGACAATTACAAAGTTGGCTTACTGTCAGCTGGAGAATATATCAAGAATTAGAGGACAAGTGTCCCAGCAGGACTTTGAAAACGCTGAAAGTCGTCCATATTGATGCTTTAAACTGTGTGGACAGTTCAATTGCAGGTTGTTTCCAGCTCACAGCAGCAACACCTGACCATCAAATGACTAAAGTGACGGAAGGATGAGGGCTTACAGTTTCAGCTCTGACACTGCCTTGGAGGTGTGTCTGCAGATATCTTGTGTTTCATTTTTAACAGCTGACATTTTTATTTCAAACTGTCTGACTTTTCATGTTTATATCAATGTTTTCACATCATAGCAATCCGCTTCGTTCTTTGGCTCCGCCCAATGACGCTAATCTATCAACTGAGGCTTTACCACCACCACAGCAGCTCAGTCAGTGTGAACGTCGTTTTGAAAAAAATGTAAGTGTCAAACTTAGGGTAACATGAGAAGCATAAATAGGCCACACAGGAGGAAGCCCCTCCTCAGTTACACTTCAGTTCAGCTTGGTGTTCAGACAGTCAACATGGAGGTCGGCGCGCTCTGCATCAAACTCTGTGAGTACGATTGGTTAAAACTAAAGAGTGTAGTCGTTCAAGGTTAGGATGGCAATGATGGTTTAATGCAGAGGATGCTCTTGGGGCTTGGAAAGACTTTCAGGTTCAAAATATTTATGTGAGGTTTTTGGCCTGAAAGATAAAAATGTAAAAGTCAAACATCAAAGGCAGCTTTAGGAGCTGTAAGAATCAGTTGAATATACGACTGTTAAAACACATCTCACTCAATGTGGAGCTCTTCTCTTCTGTTATTCCAGTGGTCCATGTGTTATTCCTGCTGTGTGCACATGTTCAGGACGTTGGTAAGTACCAGGTTGATGCTCAGTTCTATTTTAACTTCAGTTGGTACTTTCTGGTGAAATAAGAGAACATGTCTTTCTTTGGTTTGTTTCAGATTCACTGATTCTCCGTCTTGAACCAAACAGACTGCAGTTCTTTGAATACGAGTCTCTGATCTTCCATTGTGAGGGCTCTGATGACTCGACTGGATTGAAAATTGTACATCGGTCCAAAGGGGAATTACTCAGATGTAACACTACAGTGACATCAAAAAGGTCATCCTGCACTATTCATAATATTTTTCCAGAGGACAGTGGGCAATACTGGTGTGAGTCCAGAGATGGGAAGAGAAGCGACATCATCCACATCACTGTTACTGGTATGTTTGTATTAAGACGAGATCTTTACATGCACTCATCTTTGTGTGATATAAAATATGAACCCCATGTTGTTCAGTTGATCCTGTGATCCTGGAGAGTCCCATCAGTGTGGTGGAGGGAGAGACTGTGACTCTGCGCTGCAGACACAAGATGACCTTTACCAATCTCTCAGCTGATTTCTACAAAGATGGCCACCTTATCAGAACAAACTCTACAGGAAACATGAGCATCCCCAGTGTTTCCAAACGTGATGAAGGATTCTACAAGTGTATCTCTGGAGGAAGAGAATCAGCCGAGAGTCTGATGGCTGTCCAAGGTGAGACACATCAGTGTTACCAAATCAAATTTAAAAATACATGTGATATAACTATGTGTTGAAACAGTATATTGATTGATTTGAAAAGGACAGTGTACATCAATCAACGTAGAGAAGGATGTAAATGTACTTCCATGTGAGATGGGTCTTATAAATGACCTGACACGAAAATAAAATATTAATTTATTCATGTACCCAAGTTAGCAGAAGGCTAATTTTTGGCCCACATCCTCTTCATCCATTTGTAGGTTACCCAGTGAATCTGTGGTCTCATATTGACAATGATTCAAGTAAATTGTGCTCAAACTTTACACCACGAGAAGGCGTGCATTATTTCTATTTCTGTCTTCTTTGCAGAGTCACACCAAGAGATTCATGCGTCCTCAGATCTTCTGTTGATCATCTTCAGAAACATTCTCCCTGTAGTAATGATGGCTTTGCTGCTGGTGCTGCTGGGACAGCTCCACTGTGGGGAACTCCGAGGTAAACCCACAGGTAAACAACAGCACCTCGTGCACTCAAATCGAGATGGAGATAATGAAATAAAGGATATGACAGGATGAACGACAAAGACAGACATTTTCTCCAAAGTCTTGTTTGGTTGCCAGAAATGAAGAGCATCCGATAATGCTTCATTCAGCTACTCAGCTGCTGTCTTCCTTATTATAGTGCACCTTGTTCATTACATGTAATGATGATCCACTTATATTCAGTGCATGTTGTGCAAATCAATGAAAACATTTTTAATCAGCTTAAAGAATCCAATCCATAGAAATGTTTTGAAATGAGCAGATCAAAGAAAATGGCAGCACTTCCTGTTTGACATGTTTCACATATTTAATTCACATGTTGGTGAATGTTCAACAGATGTTTGTTCTTCTTCTGTATAAGGACCTGAAGATAACACAAGTCAAATCACACTGTGCACAGTTTGTTTCAGTGTCTTTCTATATTTGCATCTGTTGATGAATAATAAATCACACACGAGAGGTAGCAGGATTTAGGAAAGTTTTAACAAATAGGATTCAAACCTAAGCCTCCAAGAACCCAAAATAACAGGATAGCAAAAGATCAGAAAGGTTAAAGCAAAGAATTCCTTTCATTTCATCAAAATCAAATCAAAAATGTGTTAAATAAGGTGAAACGTTTCAAGCTTAAACAAGGAGGCTATAACCGTAGCTTAGACTAAACTCCACTTTGGGTGACCCAAGTGACACTCAAGAAATTGGTTTAGACTTATTGTAATAAAAACATGAACTAAATGGTGCCTGATGTTCAAGTGTTCTAGTAAGTATTTTGGCAACACTGTGGAATAATTCAATCTATACTCAAAACAGAGCAAGGAGTATCCAGAATCATGACGGCGACAGTTCACTCAGCTGGTACCAACCGACCTTTGACACAGGAACCCCTCTATTCTTTGATCAAGTAGGTAAGACTCAGGACATTACTGACATTCATATCTGGTAGGATGGACAGCAGAACTTAAAACATGACCCATATTTACAGCTTTCAAACGTTTATGTCACTGGACGTTGATGTTCAACCAAAGCACCACTTGAGGCAGCATTTCCTACATGCTTCAGTTCAATCTTTAGCTGTCAATGCTTCTCAGAATGATACGACCCGTGTTTTTTTACATTAACTGTGGTATGCTCAGAACTGTTATCCTTTTCTGTCTTCAGGTCGCAGCGTGACGGCTGAATGAAGGACGAGCAGCACATGAGACGTTTGGTTGAACCTGATGTGTGAAAAAACACTTTTTATTTTATTTTGCATTGTAGAAATGGTTTTCATGCTTTGCGCCCTACATGTGTTGATGTTTAAAGATATATTAAAGAGATGCGGTTTGTATTTTCAGATGTATTATCTGTTATTATATAGTGACAGTTAAACCCACATGTTCCATCTGCTGTGTGTATTTACGTGTCAGTGTGAAACTGTGGTCAACCACCACCTTGATGCTGCAGCTTCACTTTCATTTGAAGCACGCTGGCCGAGTCCAAATAAAAAAATGAGTCTGACACTTTAAGTCTAATGTGGTTGTAAATGTCATACATGAGAAGACAGAAAATAACTGTGCCATTAAAGAAGTGTACTGGTGTTTATTCTTTCATGCAAACAGTATTTTCTCAGGGTCTTCTTATCAGCAATCCTGATTCATATTCAACATGTTCAACAAAAACGTCTTTTTGAGTGGACAGTAACAGTAGTAGCTCTCAAATGCTTTGAGCTGAATGCTATTACAATGCAAGCTAATATGTTCAAAATTACCATGCTAACATGATAATGCTAATTAGATCAAATATTTCACTGACTCTACGAAAAGATGAGTTTCACCATCTGGGGACTGAATGTCTGAACAGAATCTGAAGTAAACCCAGGACCTTCGAGAAAAGAGTTCTTTATTCTGATCGGCTGGCAGCGGTACATTCTCTCTCTTTCTTTCACACAAACATGACTCAGGTACGTAGAGTTATAGAAGAGTTCACAAGTGTGAAGGGTTTGAAGGTGGCAGGTTTTTTACTTTTTGTCACAGAAACAAAAGAAAAAGCTTTGAATAAATTAAAAATCAGATTTATGGGTTCTCACTGTGAATAAAATGGTTGTTTTAACCTTTAATTTGTATCCACCATTGGACTCAGGACAATATTTAGCATGTGTTTTCCTTGTGAACATTACTTTGTCTACCAAACAAGGTGTTGGAAATAAATTGGTCACCTTGCTTTGTGTAGCCACGAGCATTTTAAGTCACCAACGCCATTTTCGAGTTTCTACCTCCAACATAAAGAAATCTGAGACACTATTCCTGAACAAACCTAATTTAGTATAGCTGGTTATTAATGGGTTAATGTTGGTACAACACTAACAATGAGTTCCCCCTGCTGTACAATGACCACATTGCATGAAAAGAAGACAGAAAAAAAAACTTCCATCACAAATCTTTAATAAAAATGTGAACTGCTGTTACAGAGAGACAGACATATTTTGCATTGTTGTTGATATAAAAACATTCAGTGGAATATTACGGTTTAAATGTTCATGTTACCATCACAAATGTTCGTATTATAGGTCGATATTTTATGTAGATATGAGCAGGAAGTGAAGCTCTGAGCTGCACGTGCTGATTGCTTGCCCAGCACATGATGTGGGTTTTATAGACAATTTTAATCTCGGGTCCTTTTTTAACGATGACTGTGTTCACACAAACATTATGGGCTCACAGACTTTACGTATGACAGGTGCTCTATAAATAACACTGAGATGAGTTGCGCCTCGTGGGTCAGGGTTAGAGAAGACGTGGTCTCAGATGTGAATATTAAATATAGAAAGACACTGAAAAAAACTGTGCACAATGTTATTTGACTTGTGATATCTTCAGGTCCTTATACAGAAGAAGAATGAACATCTGTTGAACATTCACCAACATGTGAATTAAATATATGAAACCTGTCAAACAGGAAGTGCTGCCATTTTCTTTGATCTGCTCATTTCAAAACATTTCTATGGATTGGATTCTTTTAGCTGATTAAAAATGTTTTCATTGGTTTGCACAACATGCACTGAATATAAGTGGATCATCATTACATGTAATGAACAAGGTGCACTGTAACACATGGAAGACAGCAGCTGAGTAGCTGAATGAAGCATTATGGGATGCGCTTCATTTCTGGCAACCAAACAAGACTTTGGAGAAAATGTCTGTCTTTGTCGTTCATCCTGTCGTATCCTTTATTTCAATATCTCCATCTCGATTTGAGTGCATGGGAGGTGCCATTGTTTACCTGTGGGTTTACCTCGGAGTTCCCCACAGTGGAACCATCCCAGCAGCACCAGCAGCAAAGCCATCATTACTACAGGGAGAACATTTCTGAAGATGATGAATGGAAGATCTGAGGACGCACGACTCTCTTGGTGTGACTCTGCAAAGAAGACAGAAATTGAAAAAATGCACGCCTTCTCGTGGTGTAAAGTTCGATTACAATTCTCTTGAATCATTGCCAGTATGAGACCACAGATTCACCGGGTAAACTATAAAGGGATGAAGAGGATGTAAGTTAAAAATTAGCCTTCCGCTATCTTGGGTACATAAATAAATTAATATTTTATTTTCGTGTCAGGTCATTTATAAGACCCATCCCACATGGAATTACATTTACATCCGTCTGTATGTTGATTAATGTACGCTGTCCTTTTCAAATCAATCAATATACTCTTCTTCAAGTTCAACACATAGTTATATCACACGTATTTTTCAATTTGATTTGGTAACACTGATGTGTCTCACCTTGGACAGCCATCAGACTCTCGGCTGATTCTCTTCCTCCAGAGATACACTTGTAGAATCCTTCATCACGTTTGGAAACACTGGGGATGCTCATGTTTCCTGTAGAGCTTTTCTGATAAGGCATCTTTGTAGAAATCAGCTGAGAGATTGGTAGAGGTCGTCTTGTCTGCAGCGCAGAGTCACAGTCTCTCCCTCCACCACACTGATGGGACTCTCCAGGATCACAGGACCATCTGAACAACATGGGGTTCATATTTTATATCACACAAAGATGAGTGCATGTAAAGATCTCGTCTTAATGCAAACATACCAGTAACATTGATGTGGATGATGTCGCTTCTCTTCCCATCTCTGGACTCACACCAGTATTGCCCACTGTCCTCTGGAAAAATATTAGGAATAGTGCAGGATGACCTTTTTGATGTCACTGTAGTGACATTTGAGTAATTCCCCTTTGGACCGATGTACAATTTTCAATCCAGTCGAGTCATGAGAGCCCTCACAATGGAAGATCAGAGATCGTATTCAAAGAACTGCAGTCTGTTTGGTTCAAGACGGAGAATCAGTGAATCTGAAACAAACCAAGAAAACATGTTCTCATTTAGAAAGTACTGTTTTCTCTTATAATCATACAAAATAACACAAATTATGAACATTTGAACAATAACATTGAGAAACTTAACGGTACATACCCACATCTTGAACATGTGCACCAACAGGAATAAGACACAGATCACTGGAAAGAAGAAGAGTTGTACGTTAGATCTCATAAAAACAGGTACAGAAATAGCTGTGAAACAGATAAAGAATCATACTCACACAGCCTGATGTTAAGAGCACAGACCTCCATGTTGACTCTCTGAACATATGACTGAAGTGTCCACGAGGTGAGGATTTTTGCTTCTAATGCGATACATGGTTTGTGGTTAGGGTTGAAAATATTTCCCCACAGACCCCTCCTTATGTGTCGCCTCCGCCTCTTCTGGCTGAGAACGCCAGCGCCATTTTCAACTTTTCATCAGACCAGAATAGTTAAACAGAACTTATTACGTGAATGGTTGGTTATAACCACCTTTTTAATCTATAACTATATTTGACGAATATCTGCTGTGAAAAAACAAAACAAGAACAAAGCAAGACCACTGAACATTTTTAAACCAGGAAGTGGCGTTATTGTTTCATTTAATACAGTTAACAGACATAGAACAGGGCGTCATCTGCATATTGATGAACAATGAATCACACATTAGAGGTAGCAGGATTTAGGAAAGTTTTAACAAATAGGATTCAAACCTAAGCCTCGTAGAACCTAGAATAACAGGATAGCAAGAGGTCAGAAAGGTTAAAGCAAAGAATTCCTTTCATTTAATCAAATTAGTCAAATACTTTAGAAAATGTGCTAAATAAGGTGAAACGTTTCAAGCTTAAACAAGGAGGCTATAGCTGTAGCTTAGACTAAATGGTGCCTGATGCTCAAGTGTTCTAGTAAGTATTTTGGCAACACTGTGGAATAATTCAATCTATACTCAAAACAGAGCAAGGAGTATCCAGAGTAATGACGGCAACTGTTCACTCAGCTTGTACCAACCGACCTTTGACACAGGAACCCCTCTATTCTTTGATCAAGTAGGTAAGACTCAGGACATTACTGACATTCATGTCTGGTAGGATGGACAGCAGAGGTTAGAACATGACCCATATTTACAGCTTTCAAACGTCTATGTCACTGGACGTTGATGTTCAACCAAAGCACCACTTAAGGCAGCATTTCCTACGTGCTGCAGTTCAAACTTTAGCTGTCATGCGTCTCAGAATGATACGACCCGTGTTTTTTTATATCAATGTGGTATGCTCAGAGCTGTTATCCCTTTCTGTCTTCAGGTCGCAGTGTGATGGCTGACTGAAGGACGAGCAGGACATGAGATGTTTGGTTGAACCTTATTTGTGAAAAAACACTATTTATTTTATTTTGCATTGCAGAAATGGTTTTCATGCTTTGCGCCCTACATGTGTTGATGTTTAAAGATATATTAAAGAGATGTGGTTTGTATTTTCAGATGTATTATCTGTTATTATTTAGTGACAGTTAAACCCACATGTTCCATCTGCTGTGTGTATTTACGTGAGTGTGAAACTGTGGTCAACCACCACCTTGATGCTGCAGCTTCACGTTCATCTGAAGCACGCTGACCGAGTCCAAATAAAAAAATGAGTCTGACACTTTAAGTCTAACTTGGTTGTAAATGTCATACATGAGAAGACAGAAAATAACTGTGCCATTAAAGAAGTGTACTGGTGTTTATTCTTTCATGCAAACAGTATTTTCTCAGGGTCTTCTTATCAGCAATCCCGATTCATATTCAACATGTTCAACAAAAACCAGCAGGACTTGGAAAACGCTGAAAGTCGTCCATATTGTTGCTGTAAAACTGTGTGGACGGTTCTATTGCAGTTTGTTTCAGGCTCACAGCAGCAACACCTGACCATCAAATGAGTAAATTGACCGAAGGATGAGGGCTTACAGTTTCAGCCTGCAGGTGTGTCTGCAGATATCTTGTGTTTATATTTTTAACAGCTGACCTTTTTATTTCAAACTGCCTGACTTTACGTGTTTGTATCAATGTTTTCACATCATAGCAGTCCGCTTCGTTCTTTGGCTCAGCCCAATGACGCTAATCTATCAACTGAGGTGTTACCACCACCACAGCAGCTCAGTTAGTGTGAACTTCGTTTTGAAAAAAATCTAAGTGTCAAACTTAGGGGAACATGAGCAGCATAAATAGGCTACACAGGAAGAAGCCCCTCCTCCGTTACACTTCAGTTCAGCTTGGTGTTCAGACAGTCAACATGGAGGTCGCCGTGCTCTGCATCAAACTCTGTGAGTACGATTGGTTAAAACTAAAGAGTCTATTCTATAAGAATCAGTTGAATATACGACTGTTAAAACACGTCTCACTCAATGTGGAGCTCTTCTCTTCTGTTATTCCAGTGGTCCACGTGTTATTTCTGCTGTGTGCACATGTCCAGGATGTTGGTAAGTACCAGGTTGATGCTTAGTTGTATTTTAACTTCAGTTGGTACTTTCTGGTGAAATAAGAGAACATGTCTTTCTTTGGTTTGTTTCAGATTCACTGATTCTCCGTCTTGAACCAAACAGACTGCAGTTCTTTGAATACGAGTCTCTGATCTTCCATTGTGAGGGCTCTCAAGACTCGACTGGATTGAAAATTGTACATCGGTCCAAAGGGGAATTACTCAGATGTAAAACTACAGTGACATCAAAAAGGTCATCCTGTACTATTCCTAATATTTTTCCACAGGACAGTGGGCAATACTGGTGTGAGTCCAGAGATGGGAAGAGAAGCGACATCATCCATATCAATGTTACTGGTATGTTTGTATTAAGACGAGCTCTTTACATGCACTCATCTTTGTGTGATATAAAATATAAACCTCATATTGTTCAGCTGGTGATGTGATCCTGGAGAGTCCCATCAGTGTGGTACAGGGAGTGACTGTGACTCTGCGCTGCAGACGCAAGACGACCTCGTCCAATGTCTCAGCTGATTTCTACAAAGATGGCCGCCGTATCAGAACAAGCTCTGCTGGAAACCTGAGCATCCCCAGTGTTTCCAAACGTGATCAAGGATTCTACAAGTGTATCTCTGGAGGAAGAGAATCAGCCGAGAGTCTGATGGCTGTCCAAGGTGAGACACATCAGTGTTACCAAATCAAATTGAAAAGTATGTGTGATATAACAGTATATTGATTGATTTGAAAAGGACAGTGCACATTAATCAACATACAGACGGATGTAAATGTACTTCCATGTGAGATGGGTCTTATAAATGACCTGACACGAAAATAAAATAATAATTTATTCATGTACCCAAGTTAGCCAAATGCTAATTTTTGGCTCACATCCTCTTCATCCCTTTGTAGGTTGCCCAGTGAATCTGTGGTCTCATATTGACAATGATTCAAGAGTGTTATCAAACTTGAATTGTGCACGATTAAACTGCATACTTTACATTAATAGCAAAAGTTGAAACGTTCAGGTTTAAAATCTTAATTTTTCTTCTTATCTGTCAATCCATCCAAACCTAAAATCCTCTGTCATTGTTTCTCTTAATACTTTGTAATTACATTCCAGAAATCCAGGGAGAGAATGTCTCATCCTGTTCTACCCCTTGGATAGTTATGACTGTTTTATCGATTCTGTTGTTGCTGGTTGGACTACTTCATTTCGGCAAATACATTCGGAACAAAGGTACAAACACATTTCACTAACGAGAGGCGCTTATAGTGATTGATGGGTCACAGTCCCCGTGGAATATTTGCATTTTACGTTTGATTAATGTATTTAATAGATGAATGGGCCAGTTAATAACAGTGGGGTCTTGAACACAGTTTATGGATTCTAAAGGCCCTGACACACCAAGGAGATCGTCGGCCGTCAGTCCTAGTTGCAAATTGCACATTTTTAAACCAGGAAGTGGCATTATATTTTCATCATGTCTCAATGTCTTCCTGGTTCCCTGTTCATAGTGTTTTTTTTCATTTCATGCACTGCAGTGTTGCTGTACTTGTCCACACTGGCACCTCAATCAGGCACAGCTGAGGTTCAAACAGGTAAGAACAGGTACCATGAGCATGTTCAGGTAAATTTGCACCTAAAACAAAGGAGTGATAGATTTTTAAAAAAGCAGCCTGCTCGTCTTATCGACGATAATCAGAGCAAATGTCCTTTGAAGTGTGAAAAGGTAAATCTGTTTTCCTTCGGTCCTCATTAGAAAAAGACAAATTATTTAATCACATTAATTTAAAACTCATGTTCTTTTGAGAAAGAGAAAATGCTTTGTTTGTGGATATGATTGCTCGACTTGGAAATTGACATAGACTTTTAATGCCCGTGTACTTTATCGATGTGGATTCTTATCACACATTTGTATTTTCAGTCACTGTTGAGGCCCGTCGAGTGGCAGCAGATGCACTAAGTGACCAAGTGATGTATGCTGCGATTACCAAAGACAGAAAAAAGAGAGGTACCTCACTTGACAGTTTATCCTGTCACAGTTCATTTCACAGTCACGATACTCCATCCTATGTCTTGATCTTAAACTCCTTTCTTCTTGAAAGAGAAAATGTCCAGTTTGTGGATATAATTGTTCGACTTTGAAATCTTTATATATTTTGAATGCCTGTGTAATGTATCGATGTGGATTCTTACCACACATTTGTATTTTCAGTCACTGTTGAGGCCCGTCGAGTGGCAGCAGATGCACCAAGCGACCAAGCAATGTATGCTGCGATTACAAAAGACAGAACAAAGAGAGGTACCTCACCTGACAGTTTATCCTGTCACGGTTCATTTCACATTCACGATTCTCCATCCTATGTCTTGATCTGAAACACCTTTCCTCTTGAACCTGGGGTACTCTGACAACATTAAATGGCTACTTCATGAGTCTGTATCTCAAGGCCATGAAATGGACAGAAATATTTTTTTCATATCCTTTATTAATCCCTGAGGGAAATACAACATACATACAAAACATACATGGTCTAAAATGATGTCTAAGACTTTAGGTAGGGTTGTTTGATCTTTTTAAATATAATGGTAAAGTTCTTCACTGAGAAATAAAAACAGCTTATTTCTATATGAGATTTAAAGTAGTCGTCAAGGTGAATTCCCCTGCAGACATATTCTATGATAAAGTCTACAGAGAAGTGAAAAGTACACTACTGATTCAAACACTGAGAATATGCATAACATAGCACTTTTTAAACTACAAATAAAGTTATTATTATTGATTATTGTTACTTAAAAAGTCAATTATCCAAGCTTGGATTTAATGTCTAATGGTTTAATACAGTTAACAGACATAGAACAGGGCGTCATCTGCATATTGATGAATAATAAATCACACACATTGGGGGTAGCAGGATTGAGGAAAGTTTTAACAAATAGGATTCAAACCTTAGCCTCGTAGAACCCAAAATAACAGAATAGCAAAAGATCAGAAAGGTTAAAGCAAAGAATTCCTTTCATTTCATCAAAATAGTCAAATACTTTAGAAAATGTGTTAAATAAGGTGAAACGTTTCAAGCTTAAACAAGGAGGCTATAACCGTAGCTTAGACTAAACTCCACTTTGGGTGACCCAAGTGACACTCAAGAAATTGGTTTAGACTTATTGTAACAAAAACGTAAATTAAATGTTGCCTGATGTTCAAGTGTTCTAGTAAGTATTTTGGTGACACTGTGGGATAATTCAATCTATACTCAAAACAGAGCAAGGAGTATCCAGAATCATGACAGCGACAGTTCACTCAGCTGGTACCAACCGACCTTTGACACAGGAACCCCTCTATTCTTTGATCCAGTAGGTAAGACTCAGGACATTACTGACATTCATATCTGGTAGGATGGACAGCAGAACTTCGAACATGACCCATTTACAGCTTTCAAACGTCTATGTCACTGGACGTTGATGTTCAACCAAAGCACCACTTAAGGCAGCATTTCCTACATGCTTCGGTTCAAACTTTAGCTGTCATGCTTCTCAGAATGATACGACCCGTGTTTTTTATATCAATGTGGTATGCTCAGAGCTGTTAACCCTTTCTGTCTTCAGGTCGCAGCTTGACTGCTGAATGAAGGACGAGCAGCACATGAGATGTTTGGTTGAACCTGATTTGTGAAAAAACACTTTTTATTTTATTTTACATTGTAGAAATTGTTTTCATGCTTTGCGCCCTACATGTGTTGATGTTTAAAGATATATTAAAGAGATGCGGTTTGTATTTTCAGATGTATTATCTGTTATTATTTAGTGACAGTAAAACCTACATGTTCCATCTGCTGTGTGTATTTACGTGTGTAAAACTGTGGTCAACCACCATCTTGATGCTGCAGCTTCACTTTCAACTGAAGCACGCTGACCGAGTCCAAATAAAGAAATGAGTCTGACACTTTAAGTCTAACGTGATTGTAAATGTCATACATGAGAAGACAGAAAATAACTGTGCCATTAAAGAAGTGTACTGGTGTTTATTCTTTCATGCAAACAGTATTTTCTCAGGGTCTTCTTATCAGCAATCCTGATTCATATTCAACATATTCAACAAAAACGTCAGATTAGATTGGTCACCTTGCTTTGTGTAGCCACGTGCATTTTAAGTCACCAACGCCGTTTTCGAATTTCTACCTCCAACATAAAGAAATCTGAGACACTATTCCTGAACAAACCTAATTTAGTATAGCTGGTAATTAATGGGTTAATGTTGGTACAACACTAACAATGAGTCCCCGCTGCTGTACAACGACCACACTGCATGAAAAAACTTCCATCACGCATCTTTAATAAAAATGTGAACTGTTGTTACAGAGAGACAGACGTATTTTGCATTGTTGTTGATATAAAAACATTCAGTGGAATATTACAATTTAAATGTTCCTGTTACCATCACAAATATTTGTATTATAGGTCGATATTTTATGTAGATATGAGCAGGAAGTGAAGCTCTGAGCTGCACGTGCTGATTGCTTGCCCAGCACATGATGTGGGTTTTAAAGACAATTTTAATCTCGGGTCCTTTTTTAACAGTGACGGTGTTCACACAAACATTATGGGCTCACAGACTGTACGGCACATACCCACATCTTGAACATGTGCACCAAGCAGGAATAACACACAGATCACTGGAAAGAAGAAGAGTTGTACGTTAGATCTCATAAAAACAGGTACAGAAATATCTGTGAAACAGATAAAGAATCATACTCACACAGCCTGATGTTAAGAGCACAGACCTCCATGTTGCCTCTCTGAACATATGACTGAAGTGTCCACGAGGTGAGGATTTCTGCTGCTAATGCGATACATGGTTTGTGGTTAGGGTTGAAAATATTTCCCCACAGACCCCTCCTTATGTGTCGCCTCCGCCTCTTTTGCCTGAGAACGCCAGCACCATTTTTAACTTTTTATCAGACCAGAATAGTTAAACTCTGATGATGCAAACATCCAAAACAGAACTTATGACGTGAATGGTTGGTTATAACCACCTTTTAAATTTATAACTGTATTTGATGAATATCTGCTGTGAAAAAACAAAACAAGAACAAAGCAAGACCACTGAACATTTTTAAACCAGGAAGTGGCGTTATTGTTTCATTTAATACAGTTAACAGACATAGAACAGGGCGTCATCTGCATATTGATGAATAATAAATCACACATTAGGGGTAGCAGGATTTAGGAAAGTTTTAACAAATAGGATTCGAACCTAAGCCTCGTAGAACCCAGAATAACAGGCTAGCAAGAGGTCAGAAAGGTTAAAGCAAAGAATTCCTTTCATTTAATCAAATTAGTCAAATACTTTAGAAAATGTACCCTAACCCTAACCCTAAACGTTTCAAGCAACAAGGAGGCTATAGCTGTAGCTTAGACTAAATGGTGCCTGATGTTCAAGTGTTCTAGTAAGTATTTTGGCAACACTGTGGAATAATTCAATCTATACTCAAAACAGAGCAAGGAGTATCCAGAGTAATGACGGCAACTGTTCACTCAGCTTGTACCAACCGACCTTTGACACAGGAACCCCTCTATTCTTTGATGAAGTAGATAAGACTCAGGACATTACTGACATTCATATCTGGTAGGATGGACAGCAGAGGTTAGAACATGACCCATATTTACAGCTTTCAAATGTCTATGTCACTGGCCGTTGATGTTCAACCAAAGCACCACTTAAGGCAGCATTTCCTTCATGCTTCTGTTCAAACTTTAGTTGTCATGCTTCTCAGAATGATACGACCCGTGTTTTTTTATATCAATGTGGTATGCTCAGAGCTGTTATCCCTTTCTGTCTTCAGGTCGCAGGGTGACGGCTGAATGAAGGACGAGCAGCACATGAGACTTTTGGTTGAACCTGATGTGTGAAAAAACACTTTTTATTTTATTTTACATTGTAGAAATGGTTTTCATGCTTTGCGCCCTACATGTGTTGATGTTTAAAGATATATTAAAGAGATGTGGTTTGTATTTTCAGATGTATTATCTGTTATTATTTAGTGACAGTTAAACCCACATGTTCCATCTGCTGTGTGTATTTACGTGAGTGTGAAACTGTGGTCAACCACCACCTTGATGCTGCAGCTTCACTTTCATCTGAAGCACGCTGACCGAGTCCAAATAAAAAAATGAGTCTGACACTTTAAGTCTAAATGTGGTTGTAAATGTCATACATGAGAAGACAGAAAATAACTGTGCCATTAAAGAAGTGTACTGGTGTTTATTCTTTCATGCAAACAGTATTTTCTCAGGGTCTTCTTATCAGCAATCCCGATTCATATTTAACATGTTCAACAAAAACGTGTTTTTGAGTGGACAGTAACGGTAGTAGCTCTCAAATGCTTTGAGCTGAATGCTATTACAATGCAAGCTAATATGTTCAAAATTACCATGCTAACATGCTAATGCTAATTAGATCAAATATTTTACTGTCTCTACAAAAAGATGAGTTTCACCATCTGGGGACTGAATGTCTGAACAGAATCTGAAGTAAACCCAGGACCTTCGAGAAAAGAGTTCTTGATTCTGATCGGCTGGCAGCGGTACATTCTCTCTCTTTCTTTCACACAAACATGACTCAGGTACGTAGAGTTATAGAAGAGTTCACAAGTGTGAAGGGTTTGAAGGTGGCAGGTTTTTTACTTTTTGTCACAGAAACAAAAGAAAAAGCTTTAAATGAATTAAAAATCAGATCTTCTTAATGGGTTCTCACTGTGAATAAAACGGTTGTTTTAACCTTTAATTTGTATCCACCATTGGACTCAGAAGATTATTTAGCATGTGTTTTCCTTTGTGAACATTATTTTGTCTACCAAACAAGGTGTTGGAAAGAGATTGGTCACCTTGCTTTGTGTAGCCATGACCATTTTAAGTCACCAATGCCATTTTTGAGTTTCTACCTCCAACATAAAGAAATCTGAGACACTATTCCTGAACAAACCTAATTTAGTATAGCTGGTTGTTAATGGGTTAATGTTGGTACAACACTAACAATGAGTTCCCCCTGCTGTACAACGACCACACTGCATGAAAAGAAGACAGGAAAAACTTCCATCACCCGTCTTTCATAAAATCGTGAGCTGCTGTTACAGAGAGGCAGACGTATTTCACATTGTTGTTGATATAAAAACATTCAGTGGAATATTACAGTTTAAATGTTCATGTTACCATCACAAATATTTGTATTATAGGTCGATATTTTATGTAGATATGAGCAGGAAGTGAAGCTCCGCGCTGCACCTGCTGATTGCTTGGGCAGCACATGATGTGGGTTTTATAAACAATTTTAATCTCGGGTCCTTTTTTAACAGTGACAGTGTTCCCACAAACATTATGGGCTCACAGACTTTACGTATGACAGGTGCTCTATAAATAACGCTGAGATGAGTTGTGGCTCGAGGGTCAGGGTTAGAGAAGACGTGGTCTCAGGTGTGAATATTAAATATAGAAAAACACTGAAACAAACTGTGCACAGCATGATTTGACTTGTGATATCTTCAGGTCCTTATACAGAAGAAGAACGAACATCTGTTGAACATTCACCAACATGTGAATTAAATATGTGAAACAGGAAGTACTGCCATTTTCTTTGATCTGCTCATTTCAAAACATTTCTATGGATTGGATTCTTTTAGCTGATTAAAAATATTTTCATTGGTTTGCACAACATGCACTGAATATAAGTGGATCATCATTACATATAATGAACAAGGTGCACTGTAACACATGGAAGACAGCAGCTGAGTAGCTGAATGAAGCATTATGGGATGCTCTTCATTTCTGGCAACCAAACAAGACTTTCGAGAAAATGCCTGTCTTTTCCCTTCATCCCGTCGTATCCTTCATTTCAGTATCTCCATCTCGATTTGAGTGCACATGAGGTGCTGTTGTTTAGCTGTGGGTTTACCTCGGAGTTTCCCACAATGGAGCCATCCCAGCAGCAAAGCCATCATTACTACAGGGAGAACGTTTCTGAAGATTATGAACGGAAGATCTGAGGACGCATGAATCTCTTGGTGTGACTCTGCAAAGAAGACAGAAATAGAAATAATGCACGCCTTCTCGTGGTGTAAAGTTTGAGCACAATTTTCTTGAATCATTGTCAATATGAGACCACAGATATACTGGGTTACCTACAAAGGGATGAAGAGGATATGAGCCAAAAATTAGCCTTCTGTTAACTTGGGTACATGAGTAAATTAATATTTTATTTTTGTGTCAGGTCATTTATAAGACCCATTTCACATGGAAGTACATTTACATCCGTCTATATGTTCATTAATGTACGCTGTCCTTTTCAAATTAATCAATATACTGTTTCAACACATAGTTATATCACATGTATTTTTAAATTTGATTTGGTAACACTGATGTGTCTCACCTTGGACAGCCATCAGACTCTCTTTCTCCAGAGTGTAACAACACCACAGGTAAGTGAACCCAAAAGCACGACTCAGTCTTTGATGGGGGGGAAAAAAAAACAAAAAAAAAAAACAGTCTTTACTCTTGAAGAAGATACAATCCAAAAAAGTGATCAAAGGGGAAACAAAAGGCTTGAACACTTCTCACAGGGGTCGAAGACGAACTGGCACAGAAGGAAGGGAAGCTACAGACTAAATAGTAGGGTGAGGGGGAAGACAACGAGATGCAGCTGGGAACAATCAGGGCGGGGCAGACAATCACACAGGTGGGAAACACATGAGGGCGGGAAGTGACGGATCTGAAACGAGAGGAGAAGATAGTGACCCAAAACAGAAAATAAAACAAGATAGAAATAAAAACAACCTAAGACCCTGAGCTGGACATGACAGTACCCCCCCCCCCCCCCCCTCAGGGACGGCACCCGACGTCCCAGGCTGATTCTGGATGACGGTCGTGGAAGTCCCGAATGAGACTAGGGTCCAAGATCTTTCTTCTGGACCATACCCTTTCCAGTCAACCAGGTATTGATGACCTCGACCCCGACGTCGAACAGCCATGAGGCGCTTAACGGAGTAAGCCGGTCCGCCATCAATAATCCGGGGGGGTGGAGGGGGTCTGGAGGCGGGAACGAGTGTGCTCTCTTGAACCGGTTTGATGCGTGCCACATGAAACGTAGGATGAATCCTCCAGGGTCTCGGGAGCTTTAAACGAACAGCAACAGGATTGACCATTTTTGACACTGGGAATGGTCCAACAAATCTAGGGGCCAATTTACGAGATTCCACTCGCAGAGGGAGATCCTTGGTGGACAACCAGACTCTCTGCCCCGGCTGGTCCGAGGGAGCTGCAACTCGACGACTTGCTCCCCTCTTATACCTTGCAGATGTCCTGAGGAGCACCAGCCGGGCATGTCTCCATATCCGCCGACAACGTCGAATGAGGGCCTGAGCTGATGGGACACTGACTTCCGACTCTAGCTCAGGGAACACAGGTGGCTGATAGCCATAGGCACACTGAAAAGGGCTAAAACCAGTGGAAGAGCATGGTAAGGTGTTATGCGCATACTCAGCCCATATCAGGTGTTTGCTCCAGGAAGATGGGTTATGGGAGACCAGGCAGCGAAGGCAGGTCTCCAACTCCTGATTCATCCGTTCAGTTTGCCCATTCGACTCAGGGTGATAACCAGAAGAGAGGCTGACAGTGGCACCCAGCAGGAAGCAGAAGGCTTTCCAAAACTTTGAGATGAACTGGGGACCTCGGTCTGAAACAACATCTTTAGGGAAACCATGGAGACGAAACACATTGGACAGCAAGGCTTCTGCAGTTTCTTTGGCAGATGGCAATTTTGGGAAGAGAAGCGACATCATCCATATCACTGTTACTGGTATGTTTGCATGAAGACGAGATCTTTACATGCACTCATCTTTGTGTGATATAAAATATGAACCCCATGTTGTTCAGATGGTCCTGTGATCCTGGAGAGTCCCATCAATGTGGTAGAGGGAGAGACTGTGACTCTGCGCTGCAGACACAAGACGACCTCTACCAATCTCTCAGCTGATTTCTACAAAGATGGCCGCCTTATCAGAAGAAGCTCTACAGGAAACATGAGCATCCCCAGTGTTTCCAAACGTGATGAAGGATTCTACAACTGTAACTCTGGAGGAAGAGAATCAGCCGAGAGTCTGATGGCTGTCCAAGGTGAGACACATCAGTGTTACCAAATCAAATTTAAAAATACATGTGATATAACTATGTGTTGAAACAGTATATTGATTGATTTGAAAAGGACAACGTACATTAATCATCTTACAGAGGGATGTAAATGTACTTCCATGTGGGATGGGTCTTAAATATGACCTGACACGAAAATAAAATATGAATTCATTTATGTACCCAAGTTAGCCAAAGGCTAATTTTTGGCTCACATCCTCTTCATCCCGTTATAGTTTGCCCAGTGAATCTGTGGCTCATATTGACAATGATTCAAGAGAATTGCGCTCGAACTTTACATCACTGTTACTGCTATGTTTGCATTAAGACGAGATATTTACATGCACTCATCTTTGTGTGATATAAAATACGAACCACATGTTGTTTAGATGGTCCTGTGATCCTGGAGAGTCCCATCAGTGTGGTGGAGGGAGAGACTGTGACTCTGCGCTGCAGACACAAGACGACCTCTACCAATCTCTCAGCTGATTTCTACAAAGATGGCCACCTTATCAGAAGAAGCTCTACAGGAAACCTGAGCATCCCCAGTGTTTCCAAACGTGATGAAGGATTCTACAAGTGTATCTCTGGAGGAAGAGAATCAGCCGAGAGTCTGATGGCTGTCCAAGGTGAGACACATCAGTGTTACCAAATCAAATTTAAAAATACGTGTGATATAACTGTATTGAAACAGTATATTCATTGATTTGAAAAGGACAGCGTACATTAATCAACAAACAGACGGATGTAAATGTACTTCCATGTGAGATGGGTCTTATAAATGACCTGACACGAAAATATTAATTCATTCATGGACCCAAGTTAGCCAAAGGCTAATGCTTGTCTTACATCCTCTTCATCCCTTTGTAGGTTACCCAGTGAATCTGTGGTCTCATATTGACAATGATTCAAGAGTTTTAACAAACTTGAATTGTGCATGATTAAACTGCATACTTTACATTAATAGTAAAAGTTGAAACGTTCAGGTTTAAAATCTTTTCTTCTAATCTTTCAATCCAATCCAAACCTAAAATCCTCTGTCATTGTTTACTCGATTACTTTGTGATTACATTCCAGACAACCAGGGAGAGAATGTCTCATCCTTTTCCACCCCTTGGATAGTTACGACTGTTTTATCGATTCTGTTGTTGCTGGTTGGACTTCTTCATTTCGGCAAATATATTCGGAACAAAGGTACAAACACATTTCACTAACGAGAGGCGCTTATAGCGATTGATGGGTCACAGTCTCCGTGGAATATTTGCATTTTACGTTTGTTTAATGTATTTAATGGATGAATGGGCCAGTTAATAACAGTGGGGTCTTAAACACAGCTTATGGATTCTAAAGGCCCTGACACACCAAGGAGATCGCCGGCCGTCAGTCCTAGTTGCAAATTGCACATTTTTAAACCAGGAAGTGGCGTTATTGTTTCATCATGGGACTTTGGAATCTCTATATATTTTTAATGTCTGTGTACTGTATCGATGTGGATTCTTATCACACATTTGTATTTTCAGTCACTGTTGAGGCCCGTCAAGTGTCAGCAGATGCACCAAGCGACCAAGTGATGTATGCTGGGGTTACAATAGACAGCACAAAGAGAGGTACGTCACTTGACAGTTTATCCTGTCACGGTTCATTTCACAGTCACGATTCTCCATCCTATGTCTTGATCTTAAACTCCTTTCCTCTTGAACCTGGGGTAGTTTAACAAAATTAAATGACTACTTCATGAGTCTGTATCTCAAGGCCATAAAATGGACAGAAATAATTTTTTGATATCCTTTAGTAATCCCTGAGGGAAATACAACATACATACAAAACATACATGGTCTAAAATGATATTGAAGACTTTAGGCAGGTTTTTTTTATCTTTTCAAACATAATGGTGAAGGTCTTCACTGAGAAACAAAAACAGCTTATTTCTATATGAGATTTAAAATAGTCGTCAAGGTGAATTCAGCTGCAGACATATTCTCCGATAAAGTCTACAGAGAAGTGAAAAGTACACTACAGATTCAAACACTGAGAATATGCATAACATAGCACTTTGTAAACTACAAATAAAGTTATTATTATTGATTATTTTAACTTAAAAAGTCAATTATCCAAGCATGGATTTGATGCCTAATGGTTTAATACAGTTAACAGACATAGAACAGGGCGTCATCTGCATATTGATGAATAATAAATCACACACGAGAGGTAGCAGGATTTAGGAAAGTTTTAACAAATAGGATTCAAACCTAAGCCTCCAAGAACCCAAAATAACAGGATAGCAAAAGATCAGAAAGGTTAAAGCAAAGAATTCCTTTCATTTCATCAAAATATTCAAATACTTTAGAAAATGTGCTAAATAAGGTGAAACGTTTCAAGCTTAAACAAGGAGGCTATAACCGTAACTTAGAATGAACTTCACTTTGGGTGACCCAAGTGACACTCAACAACTGGGTGAGACTTATTGTAATAAAAACATAAACTAAATGGTGCCTGATGTTCAAGTGTTCTAGTAAGTATTTTGGCAACACTGTGAGAAAATTCAATCTATACTCAAACAGAGCAAGGAGTATCCAGAGTAATGACGGCGACAGTTCACTCAGCTGGTACCAACCGACCTTTGACACAGGAACCCCTCTATTCTTTGATCAAGTAGATAAGACTCAGGACATTACTGACATTCATATCTGCTAGGATGGACAGCAGAGGTTAGAACAGGACCCATATTTACAGCGTTCAAACGTTTATGTCACTGGACGTTGATGTTCAACCAAAGCACCACTTAAGGCAACATTTCCTACATGCTTCGTTTCAAACTTTAGCTGTCATGCTTCTCAGAATGATACGACCCGTGTTTTTTTACATTAACTGTGGTATGCTCAGAACTGTTAACCCTTTCTGTCTTCAGGTCGCAGCGTTACGGCCGACTGAAGGACGAGCAGCACATGAGACGTTTGGTTGACCCTGAAAACACTTTTTATTTTATTTTGCATTGTAGAAATGGTTTTCATGCTTTGCGCCCTACATGTGTTGATGTTTAAAGATATTTTAAAGAGATGTGGTTTGTATTTTCAGATGTATTATCTGTTATTATTTAGTGACAGTTAAACCCACATGTTCCATCTGCTGTGTGTATTTTCGTGAGTGTGAAACTATGGTCAACCACACCACCTTGATGCTGCAGCTTCACTTTCATCTGAAGCACGCTGACCGAGTCCAAATAAAGAAATGAGTTTGACACTTTAAGTCTAACGTGGTTGTACATGTCATACATGCGAAGACAGAAAATAACTGTGCCATTAAAGAAGTGTCCTGTTGTTTATTCCTTCATGCAAACAGTATTTTCTCAGGGTCTTCTTATCAGCAATCCTGATTCATATTCAACATGTTCAATAAAAACATCTTTTTGAGTGGACAGTAACGGTAGTAGCTCTCAAATGCTTTGAGCTAAATGCTATTACAATGCAAGCTAATATGTTCCAAATTACCATGCCAACGCTAATTAGATCAAATATTTCACTCTTTCTACGGAAAGATGAGTTTCACCATCTGGGGAGTGAATGTCTGAACAAAATCTGAAGTAAACCCAGGACCTTCATGAAAAGAGTTCTTGATTCTGATTGGCTGGCAGCGGTACGTAGAGTTCTAGAAGAGTTCACCAATGTGAAGGGTTTGAAGGTGGCAGGTTTTTGACTTTTTGTCACAGAAAAAAACAGAAAAAGCTTTGAATGAATTAAAAATCAGATCTTCTTTATGGGTTCTCACTGTGAATAAAACGATTGTTTTAACCTTTAAATTGTATCCACCATTGGACTCAGAAAAATATTTAGCATGTGTTTTCCTTTGTGAACATTACTTTGTCTACCAAACAAGGTGTTGGAAATAGATTGGTCGCCTTGCTTTGTGTAGCCACGAGCATTTTAAGTCACCAACGCCATTTTCGAGTTTCTACCGCCAACATAAAGAAATCTGAGACACTATTCCTGAACAAACCTAATTTAGTATAGCTGGTTATTAATGGGTTAATGTTGGTACAACACTAACAATGAGTTCCCCCTGCTGTACAACGACCACACTGCATGAAAAGAAGACACAAAAAAAACTTCCATCACACATCTTTAATAAAAATGTGAGCTGTTGTTACAGAGAGGCAGACATGTTTTGTATTGTTGTTGATATAAAAACATTCAGTGGAATATTACAGTTTAAAGGTTTATGTTACCATCACAAATGTTCGTATTATAGGTTGATATTTTATGCAGATATGAGCAGGAAGTGAAGCTCTGAGCCCGTTATAGCTGCTTCATCCGGGCTGCTGGTCTCACCACAGTGATCAAACCTCACCCTTAGAACGTCGATTAGCTGACGCCCACATCCTCACAATCCTTCTTTAATCGACGCATTCACTTTGTTGTGAATAAATATGACATACTTTTGTGAGTACCTCCTAGTCTCCTCCCGTCATTTGTCTCCCGTGTTTTCAGTCAGCCCCAAACTGAGTGTTCCTGTAATATAACTGAACCTCATCAGTACGCGTGGTTCTGTAGCTTCTCGCAAAGTCTTTGTCGACTTCTCCGGCCTCTGATTGTCAAACAAATGCACGTTGGCCGTAAGGGGGAGGAGCAGCACAAATTCCAACATATTGTTGCTTAAAGACAATTACAAAGTTGGCTTACTATCAGCTGTAGAATATATCAAGAATTAGAGGACATGTGTCCCAGCAGGACTTGAAAAACGCTGAAAGTCGTCCATATTGTTGCTTTAAACTGTGTGGACGGTTCTATTGCAGGTTGTTTCAGGCTCACAACAGCAACACCTGACCATCAAATGACTAAAGTGACGGAAGGATGAGGGCTTATAGTTTCAGCCTGCAGGTGTGTCTGCAGATATCTTGAGTTTATATTTTTAACAGCTGACCTTTTTATTTTAAACTGTCTAACTTTACGTGTTCGTATTAATGTTTTCACATCATAGCAGTCCGCTTCGTTCTTTGGCTCCGCCCAATGACGCTAATCTATCAACTGTGGCTTTACCACCACCACAGCAGCTCAGTCAGTGTGAAGTTCGTTTTGAAAAAAATCTAAGAGTCAAACGTAGGGTTACATGAGCAGCATGAATAGGCCACACAGGAAGAAGCCCCTCCCCAGTTACACTTCAGTTCAGCTTGGTGTTCAGACAGTCAACATGGAGGTCGGCGCGCTCTGCATCAAACTCTGTGAGTACAATTGGTTAAAACTAAAGAGTGTAGTCATTCAAGGTTAGGATGGAAATGATGGTTTAATGCAGAGGGTTCTCTTGGGGCTTGGAAAGACTTTCAGGTTCAGAATATTTATAAGATTTTCGCCCTGAAAGAAAAAAATGTAAAAGTCAAACATCAAAGGCAGCTTTAGGAGCTGTAAGAATCAGTTGAATATACGACTGTTAAAACACGACTCACTCAATGTGGAGCTCTTCTCTTTTGTTATTCCAGTGGTCCACGTGCTATTCCTGCTGTGTGCACATGTCCAGGACGTTGGTAAGTACCAGGTTGATGCTTAGTTGTATTTTAACTTCAGTTGGTACTTTCTGGTGAAATAAGAGAACACCTCTTTCTTTGGTTTGTTTCAGATTCACTGATTCTCCGTCTTGAACCAAACAGACTGCAGTTCTTTGAATACGAGTCTCTGATCTTCCATTGTGAGGGCTCTCATGACTCGACTGGATTGAAAATTGTACATCGGTCCAAAGGGGAATTACTCAGATGTAAAACTACAGTGACATCAAAAAGGTCATCCTGCACTATTCATAATATTTTTCCAGAGGACAGTGGGCAATACTGGTGTGAGTCCAGAGATGGGAAGAGAAGCGACATCATCCACATCACTGTTACTGGTATGTTTGCATTAAGACGAGATCTTTACACGCACTCACCTTTGTGTGATATAAAATATGAACCACATGTTGTTCAGCTGGTCCTGTGATTTTGGAGAGTCCCATCAGTGTGGTGGAGGGAGAGGCTGTGACTCTGCGCTGCAGACACAAGACGACCTCAACCAATCTCTCAGCTGATTTCTACAAAGATGGCCGCCTTATCAGAAGAAGCGCTGCAGGAAACCTGAGCATCCCCAGTGTTTCCAAACATGATGAAGGATTCTATAAGTGTATCTCTGGAGGAAGAGAATCAGCCGAGAGTCTGATGGCTGTCCAAGGTGAGACACATCAGTGTTACCAAATCAAATTTAAAAATACATGTGATATAACTATGTGTTGAAACAGTATATTGATTGATTTGAAAAAGACAGCGTACATTAATCATCATACAGAGGGATGTAAATGTACTTCCATGTGAGATGGGTCTTATAAATTACCTGACACAAAAATGAAATATGAATTCATTTATGTACCCAAGTTAGCCAAAGGCTAATTTTTGGCTCACATCCTCTTCATCCCTTTATAATTTACCCAGTGAATCTTTGGTCTCATATTGACAATGATTCAAGAGAATTGTGCTAGAACTTTACATCACTGTTACTGGTATGTTTGCATTAAGACGAGATCTTTACATGCACTCAACTTTGTGTGATATAAAATATGAACCCCATGTTGTTCAGATGGTCCTGTGATCCTGGAGAGTCCCATCAGTGTGGTGGAGGGAGAGGCTGTGACTCTGCGCTGCAGACACAAGGCGACCTCATCCAACCTCTCAGCTGATTTCTACAAAGATGGCCGCCTTATCAGAAGAAGCTCTGCAGGAAACATGAGCATCCCCAGTGTTTCCAAACGTGATGAAGGATTCTACAAGTGTAGCATCTCTGGAGGAAGAGAATCAGCCGAGAGTCTGATGGCTGTCCAAGGTGAGACACATCAGTGTTACCAAATCAAATTTAAAAATACGTGTGATATAATTATGTGTTGAAACAGTATATTGATTGATTTGAAAAGGACAGCGTACATTAATCAACATACAGACAGATGTAAATGTACTTCCATGTGAGATGGGTCTTATAAATGACCTGAAACGAAAATAAAATATTAATTCATTCATGTACCCAAGTTAGCCAAAGGCTAATGCTTGGCTTACATCCTCTTCATCCCTTTGTAGGTTACCCAGTGAATCTGTGGTCTCATATTGACAATGATTCAAGAGTTTTAACAAACTTGAATTGTGCATGATTAAACTGCATACTTTACATTAATAGTAAAAGTTGAAACGTTCAGGTTTAAAATCTTTTCTTCTAATCTTTCAATCCAATCCAAACCTAAAATCCTCTGTCATTGTTTACTTCATTACTTTGTGATTACATTACAGACAACCAGGGAGAGAATGCCTCATCCTTTTCCACCCCATGGATAGTTATGACTGTTTTATCGATTCTGTTGTTGCTGGTTGGACTTCTTCATTTCGGCAAATATATTCGGAACAAAGGTACAAACACATTTCACTAACGAGAGGCGCTTATAGTGATTGATGGGTCACAGTCCCCGTGGAATATTTGCATTTTACATTTGTTGAATGTATTTAATGGATGGATGGGCCAGTTAATAACAGTGGGGTCTTAAACACAGCTTATGGATTCTAAAGGCCCTGACACACCAAGGAGATCGTCGGCCATCAGTCCTAGTTGCAAATTGCACATTTTTAAACCAGGAAGTGGCGTTATTGTTTCATCATGGGACTTTGAAATCTCTATATATTTTTAATAAATGTGTAATGTATCGATGTGGATTCTTATCACACATTTGTATTTTCAGTCACTGTTGAGGCCCGTCGAGTGTCAGCAGATGCACCAAGTGACCAAGTGATTTATGCTGCGGTTACAATAGACAGCACAAAGAGAGGTAGCTCACTTGACAGTTTATCCTGTCACGGTTCATTTCACAGTCACGATTCTCCATCCTATGCCTTGATCTGAAACACCTTTCCTCTTGAACCTGGGGTAGTTTAACAACATTAAATGACTACTTCATGTGTCTGTATCTCAAGGCCATAAAATGGACAGAAATAATGTTTTGATATCCTTTATTAATCCCTGAGGGAAATACAACATACATACAAAACATACATGGTCTAAAATGATGTTTTAGACCATGAAGACTCTAGGCAGGTTTTTTTTATCTTTTCAAACATAATGGTGAAGTTCTTCACTGAGAAACAAAAACAGCTTATTTCTATATGTGATTTAAAGTAGTCATCAAGGTGAATTCAGCTGCAGACATATTCTCCGATAAAGTCTACAGAGAAGTGAAATGTACACTTCAGATTCAAACACTGAGAATATGCATAACATAGCACTTTATAAACTACAAATAAAGTTATTATTATTGATTATTGTAACTTAAAAAGTCAATTATCCAAGCTTGGATTTGATGCCTGATGGTTTAATACAGTTAACAGACATAGAACAGGGCGTCATCTGCATATTGATGAATAATAAATCACACACGAGAGGTAGCAGGATTTAGGAAAGTTTTAACAAATAGGATTCAAACCTAAGCCTCCAAGAACCCAAAATAACAGGATAGCAAAAGATCAGAAAGGTTAAAGCAAAGAATTCCTTTCATTTCATAAAAATCAAATCAAAAATGTGTTAAATAAGGTGAAACGTTTCAAGCTTAAACAAGGAGGCTACAACCGTAGCTTAGACTAAACTCCACTGTGAGATAATTCAATCTATACTCAAAACAGAGCAAGGAGTATCCAGAATCATGACGGCAACAGTTCACTCAGCTGGTACCAACCGACCTTTGACACAGGAACCCCTCTATTCTTTGATCAAGTAGGTAAGACTCAGGACATTACTGACATTCATATCTGCTAGGATGGACAGCAGAGGTTAGAACATGACCCATATTTCCAGCTTTCAAACGTTTAGCTCACTGGACGTTGATGTTCAACCAAAGCACCACTTAAGGCAACATTTCCTACATGCTTCGGTTCAAGCTTTAGCTGTCATGCTTCTCAGAATGATACGACCCGTGTTTTTTTACATTAACTGTGGTATGCTCAGAACTGTTAACCCTTTCTGTCTTCAGGTCGCAACGTGACGGCTGACTGAAGGACGAGCAGCACATGAGACGTTTGGTTGAACCTGATGTGTGAAAAACCACTTTTTATTTTATTTTGCATTGTAGAAATGGTTTTCATGCTTTGCGCCCTACATGTGTTGATGTTTAAAGATATATTAAAGAGATGCGGTTTGTATTTTCAGATGTATTATCTGTTATTATTTGCTGACAGTTAAACCCACATGTTCCATCTGCTGTGTGTATTTACGTGAGTGTGAAACTGTGGTCAACCACCACCTTGATGCTGCAGCTTCACTGTCATCTGAAGCACGCTGACTGAGTCCAAATAAAGAAATGAGTCTGACACTTTAAGTCTAACGTGATTGTACATGTCATACATGAGAAAACAGAAAATAACTGTGCCATTAAAGAAGTGTACTGGTGTTTAATCTTTCATGCAAACAGTATTTTCTCAGGGTCTTCTTATCAGCAATCCTGATTCATATTCAACATGTTCAACAAAAATGTCTTTTTGAGTGGACAGTAACGGCAGTAGCTCTCAAATGCTTTGAGCTGAATGCTATTACAATGCAAGCTAATATGTTCAAAATTACCATGCTAACATGTTAATGCTAATTAGATCAAATTTTTCACTCTCTTTACGAAAAGATGAGTTTCACCATCTGGGGACTGAATGTCTGAACAGAATCTGAAGTAAACCCAGGACCTTCGAGAAAAGAGTTCTTGATTCTGATTGGCTGGCAGCGGTACAGATAGTTCTAGAAGAGTTCACAAGTGGGAAGGGTTTTAAGGTGGCAGGTTTTTGACTTTTTGTCACAGAAAAAAAAGAAAAAGCTTTGAATGAATAAAAAATCAGATCTTTATGGCTTCTCACTGTGAATAAAACGGTTGTTTTAACCTTTAATTTGTATCCACCATTGGACTCAGAACAATATTTAGCATGTGTTTTCCTTTGTGAACATTACTTTGTCTACCAAACAAGGTGTTGGAAAGAGATTGGCCACCTTGCTTTGTGTAGCCATGAGCATTTTAAGTCACCAATGGGGTAATACGGAAATATCTATGAAACAGATAAAGAATCATACTCACACAGCCTGATGTTAAGAGCACTGACCTCCATGTTGACTCTCTGAACATATGACTGAAGTTTAAGCCATTACTAGGCAACATAGTGACTTAAAGTGTTTCACTCAAAGTCTCTATGAACTACACACATTTAACTATTTTCAGGGGACAGGGAACAACAGGGAACATCCGTATGCAGTCAAAGACAGACACAACATCAACTTTAGGTAACACAGAACTTGACTTGCTCAATGCAAAGAAGACAGAAACACAGCAGGACTTTGCAGAGAGTCCAACCATCCAAGATTTGGATGAGAAAAAAGCCAGCCTTGATGTAGAGTTAAATGAAATGAGGACAAAAACAGAGATTTGTTGGTGCTGATTAAATTATTAATGAATTACAAAAAGGATCTGGAAGACCAAAGAAAGCATTATAAAGAACATCAGCAAGAGATCCAGAGACAGAACAGCCAGAATCATCATGTGTTAGAAAAAGATTTGATAAAACAGAATGGAGAAAGTTACGTGAAATACTCCGAGGATAATGAGAGAGACATGATCATGAAGTCCATATTAAATATGGTTGATCAATTGATGGAGAAGAAGCAGCGTTTGACCAGTAGGATGGATGACATTATTAAACAACAGGGTGAGATTGAGGAGCAGAAAGATAAAATAAAAACCAAACTGAAGTAAGAAGTTTCAAAGATATAATTTAAAAAAGGTCATACCCTCGAGAAATGTAAGAAAAACAAGCTTTTCAGTCCCCTTTCAGTTTGGACTGTTGATCTATTTAGAAATAAAGTGATTGAACAAATACGATGTTCACCCTGAGCAATGTCAATGTCATGATGTGGCAACACTTCTCTTCACAGAGAGGTAATTATGCCCTTTAGTTTGGACTATGATTGTGATGTGTTGCTTGAGTTCACTATTTTTAATGTGCAGTGGAACATCCAGTTTGATTCTCTGACTTATATATTACAGTATACCAAACACAAACTCCTATATACGACTCTTAGCTCTCTTGTTTGTTGACTAACTGTGCATTTGGGTGGATGCTCTGATGCCGATGGTGCTGACGGTTTACAACGTTACTGTTCAGGTAAATATAACAATAGCATCGGTCATGACGTGTGAGCACAGAGACCACAGTGAAGCTCTGTGGGGACAGCAGAAACAAGAGAAACACGTTCCACTGTGAAGAACTGAAACCTCCTAAAATAGACTTTAGTGCTGTGAGATGTTCTCATGGTCGGCGTTTAAAGAAGTTCAGCACGAGTGTCAGGCAGGCCGTTATGAAAGTGTGGTTGTTTTAAGGCTAATACATGAGCACACACCCCTCCCCCCCAATACAAGATACCCCCAGGGGTCAGAGTATTTCTGATTGTGATAGGATAACAACAAACCTAAAAAGATGATGTCCTCAAAAGGGAGCAATCATACTTTAACTCAGTGGTTCCCAAAGTGGGCTTTGTGTCCCCCTGGGGGGGCACGGCTAAAAGATTTGGAAGTGATCCTTTAACTTTAGCCTCCTGTGGAAGGTGTGTAGGTCCCCTCTGAGCTCCGGTCGGGTGGGTGGGTTGGGTGTGGGGATGAAGGTGAGACCTTTTCTCATATCTCCAGCTGCACGGCTGTGAGGGAGAAAACGGCACAGAGGTTGGTAATGTTGGACTGGTGGGGAGTTGCGATTTGACAGTTGACCCCAGTTACAAGTTTAATTGCTGTTTCCAGTACCTGAACAACATCCCGGCCGTGTTTGCAGTCCAATGTATGTGGTCCTTGTCTGTCTGGAAGAGTAGTGGATTTATTTCAGGTATGAAGTTATATTTGGAGGTTATTGTGTCGTTGAGTTTTGTTAGTAGTGTCTGTTTGTATTTTTCCAGTCTGGGTGAAAAGTTTATGAAGGGGATGTAAAGGGTGGCGTTGGGGAAGGTGGTCTGGCTGGTCCTCCACATAGTCTGTAGTTGTTTGAGTTGTGTGGTGGGGTCGTGTTCTGAGAGGCAGTTGTTGAGTCCGACTGAGAGTATTAACTGTGTGGTGTTGTGGCATGGGGTGAGTTTCTTAAGTATGCTGGCTATGTGATGGAAGTTGGCTCCGGGAAAACTGTCTACCTGTATGTGTGGGTCTGTGAAAGGAGGGATCCGGGAGAGGTTGGAGTCACCTATAATGAGTGTCTTCTTCCGGACCTCCAGCGACCAGTCCTGTATCTTTCTGTGAGTGTGTGGGTGTGTGTGTGGTTCCGGCCTACTTGGGGAGCCAGGTGCTGCCACAAAGGCCCTGGTGGTATAAGAGGTGGATATCTCAGATGTTGGGGTTGTTTTCAGCTTTGGTTACTCTCTTCATCATCATCACCCTTCAGAGCAAGCAGCTCTGGCTCCCTCTGCTGGTTGTGTGGTGTGTCTGTAAGTGGAGAGGATGAGATGTTGTTACTGCAGGGTAGAACAATGTTACTGTAAGGCGGTGTCTGTTCAGTGCGGTTATTGACTGTGTGTGAAGGGGGTGAAGAGGGAGGGGAGGAGGGGGCGACAGGGGGGCAGGCAGAGGACCCAGACGGTCGAGTGCACTCTGTGGGAGTGGATGGATCTCAACCTTCACTCGCCGTCCGGGGTTGCGTTTTGGCAATGGGGGCTGAGTCACCCTGCCGGGCCCCGATGCCGCCGCCGACCCCCCCAACGTACAGAGACCTGAGGAATTGGTGGGAGGAGGAGAGGAGGGGGGTGGGCTAGACTTAGGGGATGAGGAAGGTATGGTAGTGGAGAGAGAGGGGGAGGAGGAGGAGGGAGCAGGGTTAAGGTTGGGTTTAGGGGAGGGGGGAGGTAAGTTGGTAGAGAGAGGAGGAGGGAGGGGAGGAGGGAGGGGAGGAGAGAGGGGCGACGAAGGGTTAGGGTTAGGGAAAGGGGGTGATGGCCCAAACTGCTACCCCTAGCATGTTTAGGGTTAAACTCTCATTCATTACCAACATTTACACATTTAGCTGTTTTATTCAGTTATTGAAATTTGAGATTACAACACATTCCAAATGTCTACTATAACACATTATTTAGATATTCAACCTTACATCACTTCCCACATCTCTCTGGTTTCAAACAAGCTTTTTAAACTGATTATAATCAGCAGGTGAATGCAGAAGTGAAACAAAGCTCAAACAGTCAAACTTCTACGTATTCTCAGTGATATTTATAATGAGAACACAGTTTGGTACCTTTGAGTCGATGATGAAGAGAGTCTCATGTTACAGCGATCTGGGAGGACATCAGAACCCGTTATAGCTGCTTCATTTGGGCTGCTGGTCTCACCACACTGAACTAACCTCAAACAGCATGACTATTTTGACTAAAGACTGTTCCCCCAGTTCAACCATGCTGCTCTTTCCTTTTGTTTCACTTTCCACAGCACACCTCGCTCACCATACCTCCACTCATGCACCTTACAAGGTTGATTAGCTGACGTCCACATCCTCACAATCCTTCTTTAATCGACGCATTCACTTTGTTGTAAATAAATATGACATACTTTTGTGAGTACCTCCTAGTCTCCTCCCGTCATTTTGTCTCCCGTGTTTTCAGTCAACCCCAAACTGAGTGTTCCTGTAATATAACTGAACCTCATTAGTCCGCAAAGTCTTTGTCGACTTCTCCGGCCTCTGATTGTCAAACAAATGCACGTTGGCCATGAGGGGGAGGAGCAGCACAAATTCCAACATATTGTTGGTTAAAGACAATTACAAAGTTGGCGTACTATCAGCTGTAGAATATATCAAGAATTAGAGGACATGTGTCCCAGTAGGACTTGGAAAACGCTGAAAGTCGTCCATATTGATGCTTTAAACTGTGTGGACGGTTCTATTGCAGGTTGTTTCCAGCTCACAGCAGCAACACCTGACCATCAAATGACTAAAGTGACCGAAGGATGAGGGCTTACAGTTTCAGCTCTGACACTGCCTTGCAGGTGTGTCTGCAGATATCTTGTGTTTATATTTTTAACAGCTGACCTTTTTCAAACTGTCTGACTTTACGTGATTGTATCAATGTTTTCACATCATAGCAGTCCGCTTCGTTCTTTGGCTCCGCCCAATGACGCTAATCTATCAACTGAGGTGTTACCACCACCACAGCAGCTCAGTCAGTGTGAACGTCGTTTTGAAAAAAATCTAAGTGTCAAACTTAAGGGAACATGAGCAGCATGAATAGACCACACAGGAAGAAGCCCCTCCTCAGTTACACTTCAGTTCAGCTTGGTGTTCAGACAGTCAACATGGAGGTCGGCGCGCTCTGCATCAAACTCTGTGAGTACGATTGGTTAAAACTAAAGAGTGTAGTCGTTCAAGGTTAGGATGGTAATGATGGTTTAATGCAGAGGGTTCTCTTGGGGCTCGGAAAGACTTTCAGGTTCAAAATATTTATATGAGGTTTTTGGCCTGAAAGATAAAAATGTAAAAGTCAAACATCAAAGGCAGCTTTAGGAGCTGTAAGAATCAGTTGAATATACGACTGTTAAAACACGTCTCACTCAATGTGGAGCTCTTCTCTTTTGTTATTCCAGTGGTCCACGTGTTATTCCTGCTGTGTGCACATGTTCAGGACGTTGGTAAGTACCAGGTTGATGATTAGTTGTATTTTAACTTCAGTTGGTACTTTTTGGTGAAATAAGAGAACATGTCTTTCTTTGGTTTGTTTCAGATTCACTGATTCTCCGTCTTGAACCAAACAGACTGCAGTTCTTTGAATACGAGTCTCTGATCTTCCATTGTGAGGGCTCTCATGACCCGACTGGATTGAAAATTGTACATCGGTCCAAAGGGGAATTACTCAAATGTAACACTACAGTGACATCAAAAAGGTCATCCTGCACTATTCCTAATATCTTTCCAGAGGACAGTGGGCAATACTGGTGTGAGTCCAGAGATGGGAAGAGAAGCAACATCATCCACATCACTGTTACTGGTATGTTTGCATTAAGACGAGATCTTTACATGCACTCATCTTTGTGTGACATAAAATATGAACCCCATGTTGTTCAGTTGATCCTGTGATCCTGGAGAGTCCCATCAGTGTGGTGGAGGGAGAGGCTGTGACTCTGCGCTGCAGACACAAGACGACCTCATCCAATCTCTCAGCTGATTTCTACAAAGATGGCCGCCTTATCAGAAGAAGCTCTACAGGAAACCTGAGCATCCCCAGTGTTTCCAAACGTGATGAAGGATTCTACAAGTGTATCTCTGGAGGAAGAGAATCAGCCGAGAGTCTGATGGCTGTCCAAGGTGAGACACATCAGTGTTACTAAATCAAATTAATAATACATGTGATATAACTATGTGTTGAAACAGTATATTGATTGATTTGAAAAGGACAGTGTACATTAATCAACATACAGACGGATGTAAATGTACTTCCATGTGGGATGGGTCTTATAAATGACCTGACACGAAAATAAAATATGAATTTATTCATGTACCCAAGTTAGCAGAAGGCAAATTTTTGGCCCACATCCTCTTCATCCACTTGTAGGTTACCCAGTGAATCTGTGGTCTCATACTGACAAAGAGTCAAGTAAATTGTGCTCGAACTTTACACCACGAGAAGGCGTGCATTATTTCTATTTCTGTCTTCTTTGCAGAGTCACACCAAGAGAGTCGTGCGTCCTCAGATCTTCCGTTCATCATCTTCAGAAATGTTCTGCCTGTAGTAATGATGGCTTTGCTGCTGGTGCTGCTGGGACGGTTCCACTGTGGGAAACTCCGAGGTAAACCCACAGGTAAACAACAGCACCTCTAATGCACTCAAATCGAGATGGAGATACTGAATTAAAGGATACGACAGGATGAACTATAAAGACAGACATTTTCTTGACAGTCTTGTTTTGTTGCCAGAAATGAAGAGCATCCCATAATGCTTCATTCAGCTACTCAGCTGCTGTCTTCCATGTGTTACAGTGCACCTTGTTCATTACATGTAATGATGATCCACTTATATTCAGTGCATGTTGTGCAAACCAATGAAAACATTTTTAATCAGCTAAAAGAATCCAATCCATAGAAATGTTTTGAAATGAGCAGTTAAAAGAAAATGGCAGCACTTCCTGTTTGACATGTTTCACATATTTAATTCACATGTTGATGAATGTTCAACAGATGTTCGTTCTTCTTCTGTATAAGGACATGAAGATATCACAAGTCAAATAACACTGTGCACAGTTTGTTTCAGTGTCTTTCTATATTTGCATCTGTTGATGAATAATAAATCACACACGAGAGGTAGCAGGATTTAGGAAAGTTTTAACAAATAGGATTCAAACCTAAGCCTCAAAGAACCCAAAATAACAGAATAGCAAAAGATCAGAAAGGTTAAAGCAAAGAATTTCTTTCAGTTCATCAAAATCAAATCAAAAATGTGTTAAATAAGGTGAAACGTTTCAAGCTTAAACAAGGAGGCTATAACCGTAACTTAGAATGAACTCCACTTTGGGTGACCCAAGTGACACTCAACAACTGGGTGAGACTTATTGTAATAAAAACGTAAACTAAATGGTGCCTGATGTCCAAGTGTTCTAGTAAGTATTTTGGCAACACTGAGATAATTCAATCTATACTCAAAACAGAGCAAGGAGTATCCAGAGTAATGACGGCGACAGTTCACTCAGCTGGTACCAACCAACCTTTGACACAGGAACCCCTCTATTCTTTGATTCAGTAGGTAAGACTCAGGACATTACTGATATTCATATCTGGTAGGATGGACAGCAGAACTTCGAACATGACCCATATTTACAGCTTTCAAACGGTTATGTCACTGGACGTTGATGTTCAACCAAAGCACCACTTAAGGCAGCATTTCCTACATGCTTCAGTTCAAGCTTTAGCTGTCATGCTTCTCAGAATGATACGACCCGTGTTTCATATAAATGTGGTATGCTCAGAGCTGTTAACCCTTTCTGTCTTCAGGTCGCAGCGTGACGGCTGAATGAAGGACGAGCAGCACATGAGATGTTTGGTTGAACCTGATGTGTGAAAAAACACTTTTTATTTTATTTTGCATTGTAGAAATGGTTTTCATGCTTTGCGCCCTACATGTGTTGATGCTTAAAGATATATTAAAGAGATGTGGTTTGTATTTTCAGATGTATTATCTGTTATTATTTAGTGACAGTTAAACCCACATGTTCCATCTGCTGTGTGTATTTACGTGAGTGTGAAACTGTGGTCAACCACCACCTTGATGCTGCAGCTTCACTTTCATCTGAAGCACGCTGACCGAGTCCAAATAAAGAAATGAGTCTGACACTTTAAGTCTAACGTGGTTGTAAATGTCATACATGAGAAGACAGAAAATAACTGTGCCATTAAAGAAGTGTACTGGTGTTTATTCTTTCATGCAAACAGTATTTTCTCAGGGTCTTCTTATCAGCAATCCTGATTCATATTCAACATGTTCAACAAAAACGTCTTTTTGAGTGGACAGTAACGGTAGTAGCTCTCAAATGCTTTGAGCTGAATGCTATTACAATGCAAGCTAATATGTTCAAAATTACCATGCTAACATGCTAATGCTAATTAGATCAAATATTTTACTGTCTCTACGGAATCTGAAGTAAACCCAGGACCTTCAAGAAAAGAGTTCTTGATTCTGATTGGCTGGCAGCGGTACATTCTCTCTCTTTCTTTCACACAAACATGACTCCGGTACGTAGAGTTCTAGAAGAGTTCACAAGTGTGAAGGCTTTTAAGGTGGCAGGTTTTTGACTTTTGTCACAGAAAAAAAAGAAAAAGCTTTAAATGAATTAAAAATCAGATCTTCTTAATGGGTTCTCACTGTGAATAAAACGGTTGTTTTAACCTTTAATTTGTATCCACCATTGGACTCAGAACAATATTTAGCATGTGTTTTCCTTTGTGAACATTACTTTGTCTACCAAACAAGGTGTTGGAAATAGATTGGTCACCTTGCTTTGTGTAGCCACGAGCATTTTAAGTCACCAACGCCATTTTCGAGTTTCTACCTCCAACATAAAGAAATCTGGGACACTATTCCTGAACAAACCTAATTTAGTATAGCTGGTTATTAATGGGTTAATGTTGATACAACACTAACAATGAGTCCCCGCTGCTGTACAATGACCACACTGCATAAAAAAAAGACACAAACTTCCATCACACATCTTTAATAAAAATGTGAGCTGTTGTTACAGAGAGGCAGACGTATTTTGTATTGTTGTTGATATAAAAACATTCAGTGGAACAGTTTAAATGTTCATGTTACCATCACAAATGTTCGTATAATAGGTCGATATTTTATGTAGATATGAGCAGGAAGTGAAGCTCTGAGCTGCACCTGCTGATTGCTTGCCCAGCACATGATGTGGGTTTTAAAGACAATTTTAATCTCGGGTCCTTTTGTAACAGTGACGGTGTTCACACAAACATTATGGGCTCACAGACTTTACGTATGACAGGTGCTCTATAAATAACGCTGAGATGAGTTGCGGCTCGAGGGTCAGGGTTAGAGAAGACGTGGTCTCAGATGTGAATATTAAATATAGAAAGACACTGAAACAAACTGTGCACAATGTTATTTGACTTGTGATATCTTCAGGTCCTTATACAGAAGAAGAACGAACATCTGTTGAACATTCACTAACATGTGAATTAAATATGTGAAACATGTCAAACAGGAAGTGCTGCCATTTTCTTTGATCTGCTCATTTCAAAACATTTCTATGGATTGGATTCTTTAAGCTGATTAAAAATGTTTTCATTGGTTTGCACAACATGCACTGAATATAAGTGGATCATCATTACATATAATGCAGCACAGAGTCACAGTCTCTCCCTCCACCACACTGATGGGACTCTCCAGGATCACAGGACCATCTGAACAACATGGGGTTCATATTTTATATCACACAAAGATGAGTGCCATGGACCATGCTAACACCTTGGCCATACAACAGTTTAAAGCTCAAACACCTACGTCCAAAGCTGTCGCCATACGGACACGTCGCTCACCATTAAACAGGAAGTAGTTTTTTCATCGGCTTAACATAGTCGTACTGTCCCGAAACTTCATACATATAATCCTGGTAGTAAAGTCAAACATCTTATACCGTTTCAGTGAGTGGGCATGGCTTAATGGCTCAGTGGCGCCCCCTATAATAATTCAAACATTCAGCCCCCGCAGCACATTGAACCTACAATTCTGAATTTTGCTATGCATTTCCGACATGACAAAACCTACAAAAAAGGCTCTTCAACCCACGCCCAAAACTCAACAGGAAGTCCACAAATCGCATCGCCATCATACAGGAAGTGGCTGTAACTCTTATATACTTTGTCTGATCGTCTTCAAATTACATAGGTATGATCAGGGTTGGCCTCTGAACACAGTCACATAGCAATAATAAATTGTAACCATAGCCCCCCCCACTGCAAAGATTAAGTACTACATCCCATATACAATGTCAGATTTGCTCAAAATTTCACATGAACAATGTCAGTACTGGCATGATCACATCTAACCTAATACAATTATGCCATTAACATAGCGCCCCCTACTGGAAAGAGGTGGTACTGCATCTCAGATACTTTTTCTGATCTTTTTGAGGGTTGGCCTCTGGACACAATGACAGAACAATAGTCAACTTCAACAATAGCGCCCCCTACTGCAAAGAGTAAGTACTACATGCTATATACAATGCTCAATTTCCTCCAAATGTCATAGCTATCATGACAGTGCTAGCCTGAACTGCTCTACGTCAAAATTTTACGGGATCTTCATTGCATTGCCTTTTTCAACATGCCAGTACTACGACTTTTACACAAATCCAAATGCACGGCCTGCTGCTAAGCCATGTTCCACTGCTGATGCACTCCTGCGGTCGCAACACACTCCGACATGCACAGGGGTGCGAGGGCACTTCATCACCGCTTGCGGTTTTAATTATTATTGTAACTTAATAAGTCAATTATTCAAGCTGGGATTTAATGCCTAATGATTTAATACAGTTAACAGACATAGAACAGGGTGTCATCTGCATATTGATGAATAATAAATTACACACATGAGAGGTAGCAGGATTTAGGAAAGTTTTAACAAATAGGATTCAAACCTAAGCCTCCAAGGACCCAAAATAACAGAATAGCAAAAGATCAGAAAGGTTAAAGCAAAGAATTCCTTTTGAGTTCATCAAAATAGTCAAATACTTTAGAAAATGTGCTAAATAAGGTGAAACGTTTTAAGCTTAAACAAGGAGGCTATAACCGTAGCTTAGACTAAACTCCACTCTGGGTGACCCAAATGACACTCAACAACTGGGTAAAACTTATTGTAATAAAAACATAAACTAAATGGTGCATGATGTTCAAATGTTCTAGTAAGTATTTGGGCAACACTGTGGAATAATTCAGCAGCAGGGGTGCATTCTCTTTTCACACAAACATGACTCAGGTATGTAAAGTTCTAGAAGATTTCACAAGTGTGAAGGGTTTGAAGGTGGCAGGTTTTTGACTTGTTGTAACAGAAATAAAAAAAAGATTTGAATGAATTAAAAATCAGATCTTCTTTATGGGTTCTCCCTGTGAATAACATGAATGTTTCAACCTTCAATTTGTATCCACCATTGGACTCAGAACAAATAAAAAATGTCATTGTAAATTGGATCTTTAGCATGTGTTTTCCTTTGTGAACATTACTTTGTCTACCAAACAGGTGTTGGAAAGAGATTGATCACCTTGCTTTGTGTAGCCACGAGCATTTTAATTCACCAACGCCATTTTCGAGTTTCTACCTCCAACATAAAGGAATCTGAGACACTATTCCTAAACAAACCTAAATTAGTATGGCTGGTAATCAATGAGTTCCCCCTGCTGTACAACGACTACACTGCATGAAAAGAAGACACCAAAAACTTCCATCACACATCTTTAATAAAATATGAAAACATACAGTTTGGAATATTAGAGTTTAAATGTTCATGTTACCATCACAAATGTTTGTATTATAGGTCGATATTTTATGTAGGTATGAGCAGGAAGTGAAGCTCTGAGCTGCACCTGCTGATTGCTTGCGCAGCACATGATGTGGGTTATACAAACAATTTTAATCTCGGGTCCTTCTTTAACAGTGACGTTGTTCACACAAACATTATGGGCTCACAGACTTTACGTATGACAGGTGCTCTATAAATAACGCTGAGATGAGTTGTGGCTCGTGGGTCAGGGTGAGAGAAGACGTGGTCTCAGATGTGAATATTAAATATAGAAAGACACTGAAACAAACTGTGCACAATGTTATTTGACTTGTGATATCTTCAGGTCCTTATACAGAAGAAGAACAAACATCTGTTAAACATTCATCAACAAGTGAATTAAATATGTGAAACCTGTCAAACAGGAAGTGCTGCCATTTTCTTTGATCTGCTCATTTCAAAACATTTCTATGGATTGGATTATTTTAGCTAATTAAAAATGTTTTCATTAGTTTGCACAACATGCACTGAATATAAGTGGATCATCATTACATGTAATGAACAAGGTGCACTGTAACACATGGAAGACAGCAGCTGAGGAGCTGAATGAAGCATTATGGGATGCTCTTCATTTCTGGCAAGGATATGAGCCAAAAATTAGCCTTCTGCTAACTTGGGTACATGAATGAATTAATGAATGAAATTAATATTTTATTTTTGTGTCAGATCATTTATGAGACCCATCCCAAATGGAAGTACATTTACATCCTTCTCTACGTTGATTATTGTACGCTGTCCTTTTCAAATCAATCAATATACTGTTTCAACACATAGTTATATCACATGTATTTTTCAATTTGATTTGGTAACACTGATGTGTCTCACCTTGGACAGCCATCAGACTCTTGGCTGATTCTCTTCCTCCAGAGATACACTTGTAGAATCCTTCATCACGTTTGGAAACACTGGGGATGCTCAGGTTTCCTGTAGAGCTTCTTCTGATAAGGCAGCCATCTTTGTAGAAATCAGCTGAGAGATTGGTAGAGGTCGTCTTGTGTCTGCAGCGCAGAGTCACAGCCTCTCCCTCCACCACACTGATGGGACTCTCCAGGATCACATCACCAGCTGAACAACATGTGGTTCATATTGTATATCACAGAAAGGTGAGTGCATGTAAAGAGCTCGTCTTAATACAAACATACCAGTAACAGTGATATGGATGATGTCGCTTCTCTTCCTATCTCTGGATTCACACCAGTATTGCCCACTGTCCTCTGGAAAAATATTAGGAATAGTGCAGGATGACCTTTTTGATGTCACTGTAGTTTGACATTTGAGTAATTCCCCTTTGGACCGATGTACAATTTTCAATCCAGTCGAGTCATGAGAGCCCTCACAATGGAAGATCAGAGAATCGTAGTCAAAGAACTGCAGACCAAAATTTGAACAATAACTTTGAGAAACTTAACGGTACATACCCACATCTTGAACATGTGCACCCAGCAGGAATAACACACAGATCACTGGAAACAAGAAGAGTTGTACGTTAGATTTCATAAAAACGGGTACGGAAATATCTATGAAACAGATAAAGAATCATACTCACACAGCCTGAGGTTAAGAGCACAGACCTCCATGTTGACTCTCTGAACATATGACTGAAGTGTCCACGAGGTGAGGATTTCTGCTGCTAATGCGATACATGGTTTGTGGTTAGGGTTGAAAATATTTCCCCACAGACTAAGCTGATCGAGAGCCTGAACCAGGGTTCATTTGAATGTCATAAGACGGAGACAATGAACTGAGACAAACTGACTGTGAGACCAAACTCTGGTTTAAATACAGTCACTTCTTCAAGGTATGGCCAAGGTGTTTCATAAAAGACTTTATGAATACAAATAGAGACACATGAATATATGTAAGCAGTAGTGGTTGACTTCAATTTGAGATGCAAGCAGATGCAGTTAAAGGGACAGCATAAAGAAGTCTGTGGGATGATATAATGGAGTCCTTAACGTCCTAAAATCTCCGACAACACACTGCCCCACGTCGAGGTTAAGGGCGCGGTCACACTGGCCATCTGTACCGTGCTGTAGCATGATTGTCCCCCCCCCCCCGCTGCGCTACTCCCATGCTGTCCAGGACTAACCGTGCCTAAAAGCATGATTACCTCTTGTTCATAACGTCGTAATACAACACATGCACACTTTATCTTATTATGAAGCGTGCTCAGTGTACAAACAGGCAGACGAGAGAGAGAGAGAAAAAGACACGCTCCTATACAGCTCCTAACATGTTGCCCTTTGAGCTTATTGCAGTTTCAACACAATCTACACAGAATAAAAATAGTTTTACATTAAAATATCTGATGCCAATAAAGGGGCAAACAGTAGCACTTCACATCGGTTAATGATTAAAGCGCCACTGTGGATAAACAGTATGTAGAGCATGTGATTGTGTTGGACTTTGACACTCGAGTTCCTTCTCCGTCTGGTGTAAGATCAACCACCAAACAGGTAGGCAGATTTAAGATGTTATTTTTGCCTGTATATAAAAAATAGGAAACCTCGATGACTTCTGTAAATCACTCCAAACTGATACACACTGCAGACTTTGATTTAAAGTGAGGTGCAGAATGATAAAACAGTTTGAAGCTCTTACTTAAAGTTATTCACTGTCCAACAACAATGGACCATGTTTGATTGCTTCAATCGCTCCATCATGAAAACACCTGGACTAAAGAGTAACATGCCACCTACACTGGCGGTTAAAATAGTCATTATGTGTTACCTCATTTAATCGTTCATACTTTTCTATCTTAAGCATGTTTGAACCTTCTGTCCGGACAAAACAATGATATCAAACCTTTCCATATGTTTGACTGCTACAGCAAAATGCTAAATAGATATTTATTTGATCTAGACAATTAATCAATAAAAATATTACCCTAATCCTGTGAATCAGTGTTGTGAATGGGTGAAATCTAAGCTGGCCTCTTCTCTACTGCAATAATCAATATGAAATCAGAGAACTAAGCCATCCAAGAAAAATCAAATACAATCTGATGGATTGTTAAACAAAAAATGTTTTTAAAGATGCAACTAAAACAATTGTTATTTGGAATGGATTAACGTCTAAAAAGTTTTAATGTTCAAATCTCAAGGATGCGTCCCCTGAAGGATTGTTGGCCCTTTAAACGTCAGCACAGCTCCATCAGCTCTGTGCTTTTCCACCAAACTGTTGTCCTTCTTTTTCTAACACCGAGCTGTGCAGGTAAGAACGGACAATATCAACTTTCAAAATGGATCAAATGCTCACACAATACACAACACATGTCTGCCCAAGAATACTTTCTTATCAGTTGGGAGTCACACAAAAATACATCTCAATAGTCTGAGCTAAAACTTAAAAGCAAAGGTTAAGTGCTGCAGACCGTTGATTGGTTAATGGAAGTTAACCATCTAAGAACCATTCTGTAATTGGATGGAACATCGACTTCTTCAAGCGATGAAAGATCTTAAATATCCTTTTAGTCCACAGCATTCAGATTTAAATACATACCTTAATGTACAGTATGCAGATTACTTCATATATGTAGCTAAAGCTCAGTTCACCTAAAGGAGCAATATGTAACTCTGACACCTAGTGTTTAAAATGGCTACTGCAGTCCAAATTCAAAACATTGGAGAAAGAGCTGTCTCTCCCAGCCCCCTCCCCTCTAGAGTCGATGCTCACGCAGGTTGCTATGTTGCAGACACTGAAACTTCAGTGTTTATCCAGCTCTGCATGGGTCTGTAAACCTTTCTGTGTTCTAACCTCTCTCCATTTTTCAAAAGCATCTCCAATATTGATCCTAGTTTGAGCACATTTCTGCTCGTGGAGCTTATTAGAAACATGCAGAGGCTTTTTAGGTCGGGTACAATCAATTCTATCAGAACCACTTCTCTTGACCGCTTCCATCACTGCAACACCTGTTGACCTGATAACTGGTCTCATATCTGGCAAACCGAGGGGCGTCCAAAACGGACTTGTGGGGGTGTCTTAAAACCGCCTGCCTTCTCTGGTCTTAACAAATCCAGACCAATCAGGACCAGACTATAAACTTAGAAGGAGGACATACTGGCTTCTGCACTGTTGTCAGAGAAGCGAGCACTTCAACATAGCATGTTTCCTTAATGTCTGATCATATAATACGGTCACATTTCATTCAGTAAGTATCTTTCTGATTGTACTGCAGGGTTACCTCGAGTCAATAGTATTCTGTGTATAAAAGATGCACAAATGGTCTGCTATTTCTTAGAAATGTGGAGTACCACAGGGTTCAATTCTTGGACTCCACAGATCTGATGAATCATGTTTCAAACATTATGCAGACAACATTTCACTTAACCTTTCTTGTCAACACTATGAACTGAACACATTTAAGCCATTACTAGGCAACATAGTGACCTAAAGTGTTTCACTCAAAGTCTGTATGAACAACACACATTTAACTATTTTCTGGCCAGTTGGTTGTTTCAATAAGATTTCTTGTGCATTTCTTGCAGCTCAGTCTCTGGTGTTTACACCATCGCAGCTAATCGTAGCCAGAGTTGGTGAAGACATTGTGTTGCCATGTTATCTGGATCCTCCTGTGGATGCCACTGACCTGACCGTGGAGTGGAGGAAACCTGACCTGAATCCTAGATTTGTCTATGTGTGGCGTGATGGTGTAGAGCTAGCGTTTAAAAAACATCCATCCTATGAAGGGAGAACATCAATGTCCATCAACAAACTGAAGCATGGTGATATTTCCCTTAAAGTCCACAAAGTAAAGCTCTCTGATGAGGGGAGATATGGATGCTTCATTCCTACACTGAACAGGGAGGCTACTGTTGAACTTCTGGTCGGTGAGTGGAACCACATTATTCTACAATCCAAAAGATGAAACTGCAATTCAATGGTAGCTGGAGTTTCTGATTGGTCTCTCTTCATCTTTAGGGGCAGTCTCATCCCTCATCATCAGCTTTGGGACAACGGAGACTGATGGAGACATCAGAAGGTTGGTGTTTCAGTGTGAGTCCGAAGGCTGGTATCCAGAGCCTGAGGTGTTGTGGCTGGACAGTGAGGGAAAACTTCTCTCTGCTGGATCTACAGAGACCATCAGAGGTCCCGATGATCTCTATACTGTCAGCAGCAGAGTGACTGTGGAGAGGAGACACAACAACATGTTCACCTGTAGAGTCACACAGAACAACATCAACCAGACCAGAGAGACACACGTACATGTTCCAGGTGGTTTTACAGTAACAGGCTCAAATCTTAGAGTTCTGGTTCTTGTTGTTCTTGTTTGTTTTAGCCTTCATTATTTGTTTTTTATTACAGATGATTTCAACAATGTTCAGTGTTCTGCGACTCTTCCAATCATCTGCAGCCTGGTTGTGGGTTTTGTTGTTATTCTTTCAGTCGTCTTTTTAGTGTGGATCTGGAGACAGAAACAAAAAAGTAAGCCTGTCATTAAATATATGATTTTCTGTCTCTGTCTTCCTCCGTTTTACTTTGTTTGTGTCTTTGCTTTTCAACAGGGAACATCCGTATGCAGTCAAAGAAAGACACAACATCAACTTTAGGTAACACAGAACTTGACTTGCTCAATGCAAAGAAGACAAAAACACAGCAGGACTTTGCAGAGAGCCCAACCATCCAAGATTTGGATGAGAAAAAAGCCAGCCTTGATGTAAAGTTAAAAGAAATGGAGGACAAAAACAGAGATTTGTTGGTGATGATTAATTCATTAATGAATTACAAAAAGGATCTGGAGGACCAAAGAAAGCATTATAAGGAACATCAGCAAGAGATCCAGAGACAGAACAGCCAGAATCATCATGTGTTAGAAAAAGATTTGATAAAACAGAATGGCGAGAGTTACGTGAAATACTCCGAGGATAATGAAACAGACATGATCATGAAGTCCATATTAAATATGGTTGATCAATTGACGGAGAAGAAGCAGCGTTTGAACAGTAGAATGGATGAAATTATTAAACAACAGGGTGAGATCAAGGAGCAGAGAGATAAACTACAGACCAAACTGAAGGGCGGCAGTAGCTCAGTCAGCTGCCAGTCCACTTCCTGAGCACTGCCGAGGTGCCCATGAGCAAGGCACCGAACCCCAAAACTGCTCTAGAGTGCTCGCTGTGTGCAGCTCCCTCACTCTGAGACCTCTCCATTAGTGCATGTCCATAGGATCCTGCATGTGTGTGTATTTCGGCCTATGTTTGTGTAGCATGTTAATTAAACAGAGTTTAAAAACTGCATTTCCCCTCGCAGGATAAATTATTATTATTAAGTCATACGTTTCAGAGACAAAATTTAAAATGATTGATGAATGATGAAGAAAAAAATTTAGAAAAACGACAAGCTTTTCAGTCCTCATCCAGTATGGACTGTTGATCTATGTTGGAGCTATTTAATTGGGCATAGAATTAGTTTTTGTATTTAGTTTACTGATATTTGGGTGGTGTTGTTTATTTAATTATTCTACACGTTTTCTTTATTTAGAAAAGATTTTGGGTAACGTTTTCTTTTTTGCTAGTTATTTGTTTAGTAAATTTAGTTTTGTACTAGTATTTTGTTAGGTATTTGGGCAATACTGTGGGCACTGGAGATTATTTAAGTAAGCGGCAGGTAGAGGACCAGAATGCACCTGGGTGGGCCTATTGTTTTTTAACAGGTCAAGAGAGGCAGCGGGAGCCACGATTTTCTTTGTTCTTTTGTTTGTTTTCATCAAATAAACCAGCAAAATACCGCAGCTCCTGCATGGACATTGGATTTCTGTTGCCTGCGTACATTACATCCCCACGGTGTATCAGTGGTCATTTGATTATTTTTTATATTAGTTTATTTCGTTTTATTTTTGTTGTTTTGGACAAATAGCCACTACAATCTACTTAGGAATAAAGCGTTTGAACAAATATGATGTTCACCCTGAGCAATGTCATGATGTGGCAACACTTCTCTTCACAGAAAGGTAATTATGCCCTTTAGTTTGGACTATGATTGTGATGTGTTGCTTGAGTTCACTATTTTTAATGTGCAGTGGAACATCCAGTTTTATTCTCTGATTTATATATTACAGTATACCAAACACAAACTCCTATATACGACTCTTAGCTCGCTTGTTTGTTGGCTAACTGTGCATTTGGGTGGATGCTCTGATGCCGATGGTGCTGATGGTTTACAACGTTACTGTTCAGGTAAATATAACAACAGCATCGGTCATGACGTGTGAGCACAGAGACCACAGTGAAGCTCTGTGGGGACAGCAGAAACAAGACAAACACGTTCCACTGTGAAGAACTGAAACCTCCAAAAATAGACTTTAGCACTGTGAGATGTTCTCATGGTCGGCGTTTAAAGAAGTTCAGCACGAGTGTCAGGCAGGCCGTTATGAAAGTGTGGTTGTTTTAAGGCTAATACATGAGCACACACCCCTCCCCCCCAATACAAGATACCCCCAGGGGTCAGAGTATTTCTGATTCTGATAGGATGACGACAAACCTAAAAAGATGATGTCCTCATAAGAGAGCAATCAGACTTTAACTACCTGTCTAACACTGAGAGCTGTGCAGATAAATAATGTCAGCTATGCCTCGCTCACATTCAGTCAGTTAGTCACCAGGATTACACTCTGAACAATGAAGATTAATAATTAACGCTCTATGAAAACATCCTGTTTCATTTTGTATCCAATCCAAACAAAGAAAGAGTCTCACACACTTTGTCACTCAGAAGAAGAATTTTATATTTTTCTATCATTTCAGTCACATTTTTATTCATCACATTTCAACATTATCCTTGGATTACTCGTGCAGAAATCATTCCACATACTTCCAAAATAAAACGAGGTATAGAAACAACAACATGTGTTTCAGCTAAGGTTGTTATCTTTCAGTTCTGTTTTTTAAAAAGCTTTGTGAGGAAAGAGGCTCCAAATCAGTTCATGAGTCACCTCATTACAATCCTAATATCCACCTAGTGTTGCAAAACTAAAATGTTTTTTTGTATTTATTTTGGTTTGGTAAATAAACTGAAGAGACTTGTTTGTATCTTAGTTGTTGGAATAATAAGAGTAAATAAAAGAAAAGTTCTCAGTTCTACTCGTCTTCAGACACTTTTACTTCACTGTAGTTTGATATTTCTTATCTTATTTAAATGTTTGGTTCCAAATATAGTCTTTCATTTACTAGTCTGACTGCTCTGACGTTTTTTTTTTTTTATAACAATTTCTCACACTATCATTTAACCACACAGGAAATGAGGTCGAAAGGTAGCTTAACGTCTTTGCTGCCCTGTGGAAAAAAAAAGTGAATACATGCATGTGGCTACGTGACTCATGAACAGCCTCCCTGATAATAGAGCAGCCTACACTGTGACCTGCAGGGCCTGTTTCATAAAGCAGGTTTTGTGCAAACCCATGAGTCTGTCAACCCTGAATTGAGGGAAACTCCGGGTTTTCTGTTTCAGTAAGAGAGGTCACTCAAACCCGAGAAAGAGGGGTAATTCAAGCCTGTTCCACAGAGGGAGGTAACTTTAGCTCTGAGTCAGTTACTATGGTAACTGAGTCAACTGAACAAGCCTACATTTACATCAGTATATGTTAATTTAATTAGGACTAATTAATAAACTAAACAGGATAAAGGTGAGAGTTTCCCACCTGAGGGTAAGTAAACTCAGATCTCAGGGTTAGACTGGGAGTTTGTTCTACCTGAAGGACTCGTCTATCTGTTGTTGTTTTTTGTGTGGTTTTTATCTGCGATTCTAAAAGGGAAGCTGTGAGTATCTCAGCAGCCTCAAGTTCCTGACATACAAATGACATAACAACTTCAAAAGTTACTAAAATTTAAAATTATTCAGGCGCTAAAAACATTAACGCATAGGTGCTCACAGTTTTTTGTAAAGGCAGTCTGAAGGACGTTCAGTTTTATCACCTAATACTTTTACGAGGCTTTTCAAAGATGTTAAATCAAACTGGCTACCCTTCCTTAGCGTGGATGATTTAAAAAAACATAAGTTGAGGTCTGTGGATCTTGTATGGGGGCCTCTTCAGACACTGAAACACAACGAAAGCACATTTCAAAGTGCGATAGACGGATAGTTGGATGTTTTAATCAGACATTTACACTCAATAATGAAAACCTGCTGAAGATAAAATGCATGTTCTTTACTAAAGCCATAAAACACACACAACATCCTTAAGTTAACATGTTTTGTCACATGTTGCATTCATGTTTTGTCCACTAGTTACCTCTGTTCTTCCTGGGCATATAGATGAAAGGGGAAGAATATGTTGTCTCGACTGGATTTGCGTCGCCCTCCTCAGCGCTGCCCTCCTCAGACACTGAAACACGATGAAAATGAATTTATTAATTTAAGCCATAAAGTTGTTGGTTGTTAAATTGGCAGAAAAACAAACTATAGTCAAATTAAATCTTGCTCAAATGGAATGAATAATTAAAAAGTAAATAATTTAATTTAAAGATATTGGATCTTGTAAAAAATCTCAAACTATTTGACAGAATACAGTCATGGTAAATTTCATACTTTTCATGGCCTTTTTAAATATACAGTATATTCTGCCTAAAAACCACGTTTGTGTTATATTAAAACTTTATGAAGAAACAGTATTCTGAATATAGTTTACTCAGAGTTCACTGCAGACTATTCATAAAGATGATGACAGAAATAAAGGGTTTTTGTACAAATTAAAGTTGTCTTATGAACACTGTTGTAAAATGAAAATGATCTTTGAATCAATCACTCGTGTTGAAATGAGAGTTGACTTCAAGCATTTCTAATTAAGTTTATTTTATTAAGTGTTCCTCCCTCTACCTGTGTTGACTGTTTGACGTCTGCGACGTCGCAGTAATCCCACCAACAACAACACAACCAGGAATGCACAGACACCAACGCAGACCTTCAGAAACAGCTGTGGGACTTGATCAGGTTGATCCTCCTCAGAAGCTGCTGGAGAGATAATCATATGTGCTGCTAATGAAATATGGATGTCACAAATGATCAGGAACATAGCAAACATTTTGTAATACTGGTGGTCTCACCTGTGACGATTAACCAGCTCTGTGCTGATTGTCCAGCTCCAGAGATGCTGCAGCTGTAGAGGCCTTCATTAGACCTGGAAACACTGGGGATGGTCATGTTTTCAATGGGGCTGGTATACATCAAGATGCCATCTTTGAAGAATTGTGCAGCTTGGGTGAAGTCAGACTTCTGCTCTCTGCAGCCCAGGCTCACATTGTCTCCCGCCATTACAGGAAGACTTGGACCCTCCAGGATCACAGAACCAGCTAAAAATATGTATCAAGAAATATTGTATAAAAAGATGTTATAATATGAATTACCTTAATTGGCCATTAGCAGTTCATGAGCTCTACTTAAAAGATCTAAAGCTATTGCTCTGAAGAGCATGCTGGAAAGTATATTAGGACATGTCCAGTGGCAACCTCTGGTTTTGAAAAACTAAGCCAATGCGGAACTGTAAAATCCTGCAGTCCGTCAAGTGTCCACTAGAGTCAACAGTTAGGCTGACTGAAAGTTAGGCTGAGACAGGAATTCCAACATGGAGACCGCCATCGATGAACCTCCAGAGCCTGCGGTAACAGATGGCTGACGTCACTCAGACTTTGTCCATTTATATTTACAGTCTATAGCCTGACCACATCATATTTTCACATCGAAAGTGTTTAAAATATGCATACCAGTGACAGTGATGTTGACTGTGTTGCTCCTTTTTGCTCCGATTTCACACCAAAATTCTCCGCTGTCCACTTTTGGAATAGCATTTGTAATATTACAGGGGCCTATTGATGCCGACCAAGAAATAGCACACGTCTGAGTAAGTCCGCTGATCTTCTTCAACACCCTCCATCCTGTTAACCCCATCAGCCCCTCACAACTGACAACGATGGATTCATATTCAAAAAACTGCTGTCTCTCTGGAACGACCCGAGGAAAATCAGCAACTAGACACGGACAAAAAGAAAGTTTTCATTCAATTATTCCCATTTAAATATAAAAAAAACTATATGGATTATTTAATGTCTTTGTTAACTTTGTTCTAAAGCTTAGCAATGTTGGTCTTACTCACCAACATTGAGAGAAAAACCGTAGTGATCGTTTGCAACTAGCAAGAACAACATGATCGTCACTGCCGAGACAAGAGAGCAGAATATCAAATAAAAACTGTTTCTGTTCATAACGAGTTGATCACTGTTTATCTATGACAACATTTTCTAACATTATCTGTTTCTGTATGACCCACAACACTGCGTAAGTTAAATGTTGTTTTTGTACCATCAGGTGGACTCATTACTCACGTAGCCTGAAGCAGAGAGCTGTGACCTCCATGTTCTCTTGATGCTGACTGTCTGAACATCAGACTGAATGTAAAATATCATCATGTCAGTCACATCCTCCTCCACTTCCTCTTCCTCAGTTGGTCTGTGGTCTCTGAAACAAAATGCCTGGGCCCCGAAAAGCCACAGCTCAGTATGCAGTGCGGACATTTCAGTCGGGGGTTTCAGTAGACTGAACTCTCGCGGTCTTCAGTGGCCTTTTTTGGGTCTACCTCAGTAGACTGAACATTTCAGCTTGAATACTAACTTCTGGGTTTTGTGTAGTATGGTTCGGTTGCATCCTGTCAGGAAATTAGTTCTATTTCAACACTCACAATACCATGCAAAATTAAATGTAAAACGTCACTTCACGTGCGCCTCCAAATAAATAAAAAAAACGAGGATAAAAAAAAAGAAAAGACTGATGCGGCCAATTCGGGGAACGCACTTTTCAAATGTTAAGTTAATAAATTGTTTACATGCAATCTGAAGTTTTGAATTATTTACTGAGTCATCGTGCAGATCACATCTGAGTTGGAGTGTGAATAAAATGAGGCGGGCTCATGATGCCACTTCCACACTGAATGAATCAGACGAAGTAGGAACACATATCTGCCTACTGCGAGCCTGAACTACTGAACAGGAACAACAACAAGGTGGCGCCAGAGGCCCAGATTTATTTTAAAGTATGACTTTGCAAACGAGAATGCATAGGAACATTAGATGAAGATTAATCATTAGATGTACAGGGGTTTAATTAAAAACTAATGAAAAAAAATGATAATAACCCATTAAAAAATCTTTATGATTAGATATTCTTATTTTGTTTGGATGGCTCTGTGAAAAAAATAAAAAATATATTGTATTATCCTCCTCGTCTGACATCATCCTGTGAACACGTCCTTTATGTAAAAACTGTTTAAAATATCTACCTCATAAGAATTAATCATCTGTTACAGGATAACATTTATTATCAAGATTATTTTCCTTTGCACTCCTTGCTGCTGCATTATCGTCTTCCCTAATGTTCTACATGTTTACTATTTTTAATATTTAAGGTTATACTGTTGTACATATAGAGTACAGTTTAGTTTATTGTATGTGTAAGCATACCTGGACAATTAAACATTAAGATCTAATTTTTATGATAAGAAGTTGCCAAGTGGGTTGTTACATGCTCAAGCCATATCGACCTATCAGAGAGGAGACTCAAACACACTCTTACAGGTTTAGACTCAAACACACTCTTACAGGTCTATCATACCAACAGAGGACTATGATTCTACACTGACCAAATGAGGACCCTTGTTTCTGCTTCTTTTTAAATTCTATTTTATTTGCATCATTTACATTTATATCCATTTTCAAGTCTGTATAGAAGAACCGTTTGTCATATAACCTTGAACACACACAAAAGACAAACAGAGACAGATAATAAAAAAGGACAAAGGTCAGCAGTTCAGTTTGAGCTGTTAAAACGGGCCACTCATTAACAGAGCAGAGAAAATGAAAGTACATATGAGGACACACAAGTGCACCAACAGTGACACATTCAGAATATTTAACTTAAAAGTTTTAAGAAGCTGTTAACTTTCTACTAAATTAATGAAAATGTTTGATTGGCTTGATGCATTTACTTTTGTTTTGTGTTTTATTTTGTCTGCAGTGTTGTAATTTTAAACTTTATTTAAAAAAAAAATCAATTTCTCGTTTTCTATAAAATTGTGTTCTGGGATATTGTCATAATCCAATGTGTCACATATATTTCAAGGCTAAATGAAAAATATTTCACTGAAACCTGTTCTAAAAGAACAATAAAAGGCAAAAAAAATGAAATGGGTGTAGGTTAGAGTACGCTTGGTTGATTCATTCTGGACTTTGACCCTGCAGCCTTCTCTCGCTTTAACACCTCAAGAGAAGAAACTCGGACACACACAGCAGGTACATCCAATTTGTACAAGAAAAAACGTGTTTGTATGGATTATCTCTGATATATTGTTTAACATCATCTTTAAATTCAAAGCTGGTTCTTTTTGTACAAACTGCTATCTTCCTCAGAAACCTTCTTTTAAACATAGCAGTCGATTTAGTTGCTCTGATCATTTGCTTCGAATGCACAAAATGAGGTCGCTGTCAGTCTTTGTAATGGTGAACAGGTGGATCATAGTGTGCATGTGTTTTAGCCATTTCTCTTTCTTCAGAGCATGACTTTTATTTCAAGTTTTCAGATATATTTTAGACTTTTTTGGTGCAGTTTATAACAGAGTTTTTTTCTTTGAATTTTCAGCATTACAGAATGATTAAAACGAAGTACGAACACCTCGGTGACTTCAGGGCGTTGGTCGTCATGCAACACTCTCTGGTCCTCTTTATTTTGACATGTTCTTGTGGAGGTAAAATACAAATACATGTTGAAAGGTCTTGATGAGAGTAATTATACTTTTAAATTGATGCAACTGTAAATAATACATTTTTCCAAACAATTTTTTTTTTTATCAATTTAGCTGAATGTTTGCTGAAAGTAACTTGTATAGCTTGCATTAGTAAGCCACATTTTAAATACTTTTATTGTGCTAGGTATTGATTGGAGGTGTTGCCAAATTTGGAAGTGATAAAAAAAATCTCATTTTAACTTTCCATTCGAACTCCTTCCATGTGGGGCTATTTGTTTTCATGTGTCCCCTTTTTTACATGATAGGATCCATTTCTCATCCAAAATAATGGTGTTCATCTCTAGTTCCTACTTCTCATTGACATATGACTATTTCAAAACTAAAGGGTAGAGAATGTGCTTTATTTATATGATCCTGGATTAAAAGTAAAAGTCCAATCCAAAAATAACATGGTCTGAATTTATTTTGCTTTAGGTCATTCTCAGGGGATTGGTTCGTCTCAGCCAATAGTGGCAATAGTTGGTGATGATGTAATTTTGCCTTGTCAACTTGAGCCTGCTGTGGATGCTCGTGAAATGACAGTGGAGTGGGCAAGACCTGACCTGGACCCCAAGTATGTCTTCTTGAGGCGAGACGGCACAGAGCTTCAACAGGACAAACATCCGATGTACAAGGGGAGAACATCACTGTCTGAAGATAAACTGAGGTGGGGAGACATTTCACTGAAACTCACCGAGGTGAAACTCTCTGATTCAGGAGCATACAGATGCATTGTTCCTGCAACCAAAAAAGAATATGTTATTAAGCTGACTGCAGGTAAGTTTAAATGTATCCATTGTGCACACATTATTATTATGCAGAGAAAGGTATGGTAGTTAGGTTGACCTACAGGAGTAAACATTTTCTGACATTATCTCGGACAAATGCTTGTATTCATTGAAATGGTTGTATTGGTTCACTCTGTCTTGAACTGGACTTTTTCCTGCCAGCCTCAAAGTCTTCAAGGAGTTAGGGTTTATCCTTCTAATGCTTGCTGCAGTTGCAGAATATTGTTTTCTTCTATTGTGTTTGCATTGCTGGAAACATCCTCTTATCATACACTCTACCCAGCTCCCTGCAGCATCCATTATGTGACATCTGAATGAGACAACAAGAAAAGCACAAAGGGCTTACTTGGGGACTGACAAGATGTCGTACTTTAGTTGGTCACAAGCTGGGATTTTCTTTCTTGTTTCAAATGTTTAACCTGACTACTTTTTTGGACATTTTTCCTCGTGATTAGGTTCTGTATCTTTACCGACCGTGAGCATTTCCAAAGCCAGCAGTGGAGTGGTTCTTCAGTGTAAATCTGAAGGCTGGTATCCAGAGCCTGAGGTGTTGTGGCTGGACGGTGAGGGAAACCTCCTCTCTGCTGGATCGACAAAGATCATCCGAGGTCCCAATGATCTCTATACTGTCAGCAGCAGAGTGACTGTGGAGAGGAGACACAACAACATGTTCACCTGTAGAGTCACACAGAACAACATCAACCAGACCAGAGAGGCACTCATACATGTTTCAGGTAGATAAATTATTAATCAGTCATTGATGTTGTTAATTCTTCAGTTACAGACAGTTCATGTTAAGCTCTGTAAAGTTATTTGGCTCGTGTTTTATCATTTCAGATGAGCTCTTCATGGTCCAGTCTAGTTCTATTATCCGCATCACCATCTGTGTCATTGTGTGCTTCGTGTCGATCGTTGCAGTTGTTCTTGTTGTGAGGAAATTTGGACAAAACAAGAGTAAGTGTCATCTTTATTGAACTTCTTTCAAAAAGTTATTTTACATCAGTTCTGTTGAGAGTTAATTTCTTAGACACAAAACAAGTCATCCAATGTGATCTCAGCCTTTACAACATCCAGTGCAGGTATATCACCTTATCTGAACTGTGGCCACTTACCAAATATATGTCAATATCAGATTTCTGTGAACCCTACTTTCCCACCCTGAAACCCCTCTCCCAAATGGGAAGACAACATAGTAACACAGGTCTGAACTAAACACATGCCTTTTCTTTTAATGTAGAAAGCAAGAAGCACCATGAGGGTAAGACTGACCTGGGAGAAAGAAAAATGTTCAGACATGACATTGAACATCAGCTTCTGTTGGAGAAAGCAGGAGACGTAGATCAACCCATGACTGGAAATGAGAAGATGAAGTTATTAGATAATATAAAGGCTAAACAAGATGAGAAGTTAGAGAAGAAAGAGAAAGAACTGAAACATGTTCAACAGGTGATTACAGCACTGACGGAGCAGAAGAAGGAGCTGAAGATACAAAGAAATCAAATCATCTCACTACAGCAGGAAGACATGGTACAGATAGAGAAGAACCAGAAGAAGCTGGATGACACTAAAGCTTTACAAAGAGACAAAAAGAAGAAACGTGAAAAGACTAAAGAGTATCTGGAGAAGAGAAAGACAGTACATGATGAACTGTTAAAGAACACAGAGACACAACTGGAGTCAACAGATGCTTTGTTTAACACAATGACTGAGAGGAAAGGGAAACTAGAGAACGATAAGGAACAAATCAAAAAGTACCTCAAAGAAACAGAGAGGAAGAGAGAAGAGGTTCAGAAACAGATTCAGAGAGAAGGGGTTCAGAGAGAAGAGATTCAGAGAGAAGAGGTTCAGAGAGAAGAGGTTCAGAGAGAAGAGGTTCAGAGAGAAGAGGTTCAGAGACAACAGTCAGAGGAGGAAGGCAATCAGAGCAAACATCCATCAGAGCAGTCAGAGGAGGAAGAGTACGAAATAAGTAATCCATTTTCCAGTACTTACGTTCCATAGTTTCACAGAATAACAGCGTTATTAGCTGAAGTAATCAAACATGAATCATTCTCGACCAGATGTGACCACAGTTAATTTTGGTCATTAAAAAAGGTTGTGATTCATCTTTGTGATTTATATTGTGTGATATCAGTGTTTTTTTTAATTTCGTACATGGATTCATGGTTTGACTTTTAATGCATGTTTTAAAAAAAATGTTTTACTGATTAATTCAAATGTCTTTGTCTTTTTGTTTGATTCAGAGTTAAATAAATCACATTTTCTGGAGTTTTCAAGCTGACTTGGTTTTATAAGAGGGTTCATTTATATTTATAAAAACTGATTTTGTTACATTTGAAGAAAATGTTTGCATGTAATGAAAAATAAATAAATACATTTCAGTCATGACTTCTCTCTGAGATATCTTCTCTTTTCATATTAGGATTTTAAATGTAGACACAAGAACTATTGCTGGAATACACATATGATAAAATAATTCAGTAAATGCATGCAATTATTTGGTGTAATACACCAAGAGGAAAACATAAGGTGTTTTCAGACCAAACAGTCCTGTGGACTTTTTGAAGAGGAGTTTCCTGACAACATAAAACCATGAGGACTTTTTTTCTGTCTGAATTGGCACCGTCATGGTTCCTACTCTGAAGCAGAGGCTAAAAAGGTTCCTCTAAACGGGGTTCTAGGAACTAAAATAGATCCTAGTTCCTGCGATGTGGAATCAATAAAAAAGGAGGAGGGTTCCAACAGTTTTTAGAACAATTTAAAATTCCTGCCGTCTGAAAACACCTATAGGGAGCTAATAAAGACTACTCTGTGTAATACACATACCGTCAGACTAGTGAGGCTCAGGATTGAAGTTGAAGGACTTGTCACGTCTAGTTTAACCATTACAGATATCAATTATTTGGGATTATTCTACTTTTGACCCCCCTCCTCCCCATCACCAGAGGTTTTCAGTTGGTTGTTTACTAAGAAAATGATGCATGTATTTTTGTGAAAATCTTTTTCTCTGAAATGTTAAAATGATTAGATGAGGAAAATATGATAGGACTGACTTTTATTGTTGGGTTGCAAAAAAAAATATGAACAGAGTATCCGCAGAAATCACAGTGTTGTTTCAGTGTGTAATACATTACATTTCTGCACTGGAACTCGAAATACTGCACAGAAGATAGTTTATTTTTATAGTTCAATAAAATCATTTATTATTTTAAATTCACTGAGTCCCTAAAGTAAAATGACTTTGGTAGCTGGAAAGGGAAAAGATCAGAATACCTTAAAATCAGTTTACTGTGAAAGAAAGTGGCACTGTTAAGGTCTGACGGCTAATATAACAAGAGCTCGTTCTCATTAAACCTTGTTTTGTTGAAACTGTTAAATAATTTCACAATGCAATCAAAGAATCACATCATCGTGACAGCCTTCAAAAGAGACAAAGATTTGCCAATGATTATCATACGTTAACACATTTACATGGAGGTTGAACGTCCATTTGATCTTCTCTTCAATTGTGGCGGCTTCTTTTCTTATTGGCAAGAAATTGACTCAAATCAATATTCGCATTTTGTGAAGAAACAGATCAAAGTGAGATCTCATTTGATCACACAACGCTTGCTGACTGTAACCTTTATTTGCTTAAGCAGTTTGAACAAACCACAGGTTATATGGACAGACCTATAAATCCATGGAAAAAATATATTGTAATATCAAATTTTCAGATATAAAAGCTGAAGATCTTAAAAAAGAGATCAAGTGTTAATGTTTTACAGTGTCAGGAAAGTCATATTTAACTCAGTCTGTATCATAAAATGTTTGCCAGATTAAAGATTAAACCATTGAGACACTGCCTTCAATCTGTAAGTTTTTAAATAATTATATGCTCTAAATGATCAGTTTTTTTCAGTTTAAGTGTCATCTTTATTGAAAAAGTTAATTGTACGTCTTGTCCAGGTGAGTTGAATCATTTTATCTTGCTTACACAACGATCCACAATCTGCCATGTCTGTAAATTAGAAGTATAAATGGCTTACGACAGATTTCTGTGAACCCTACTTTCTGACCCTGAATTTTCCCTCCCAAACGGGAAGACAACATAGTAACACAGGTCTGAACTAAACACATGCCTTTTCTTTTAATATAGAAATCAAGAAGCACCATGAGGGTAAGACTGACCTGGGAGAAAGAAAAATGTTCAGACATGACATTGAACATCAGCTTCTGTTGGAGAAAGAAGGAGACAGAGATCAACCCATGACTGGAAATGAGAAGATGAAGTTATTAGATAATATAAAGGCTAAACAAGATGAGAAGTTAGAGAAGAAAGAGAAAGAACTGCAACTTGTACAACAGGTGATTACAACACTGACGGAGCAGAAGAAGGATCTGAAGACACAGAGAGCGAAACTCATCTCACTACAGCAGGAATACATGGTACTGATAGAGACCACTAATGCTTCAGAAAAAAAGAAGAAGAAACGTGAAAAGACCAAAGAGGATCTAGAGAAGAGAAAGACAATACATGAAGACATGTTAAAGAACATGGAGAAACATCTGGAGTAAACAGATGCTTTGATTAACAGAATGACTGAGAGGAAAGGGAAACTAGAGAATGATAAGGAACAAATCAAAAAGTACCTCAAAGAAACAGAGAGAAAGAGAGAAGAGGTTCAGAGAAACAGAGAAGAGGAGGAAAATAAAGATCTCTGAACTGAACAATCATTCCTCTGCTAACATCCTCCTGTTTGAGTAAAACAGTGTGGACATACGACAACACTCCGTTGCGTCATGTAAATGCTTCCTTGATTGAAATTTATTTTTTGACGTTATTGTTTTTCATAATGTTGCCTGTATCTACTTACTTTAAAACTTCTATTAAAAGCTCAGGCTTTTATTTCCTTTCAGTCTATGAAATGAACCTGCGTTTCTTTGGGACAGACATCAATCAGAGACGAGCTCGTGCACAGCAGCAATGATGCTGAAGACTTTAAAACTGTAAATTTACACCAGAAAGAATGTTTAACTGTTAATCATTACATTTACATTTATATCTATTTTCAAGTGTGTATAGAAGAATCGTTTATCATGTAACCTTGAACACACACAGAAGACAAACAAAGACAGATAACTTAAAAGTTTTAAGAAGCTGTTAGCTTTCTACTAAATTAATGAAAATGTTTGATTGGCTTGATGCATTTACTTTTGTTTTGTGTTTTATTTTGTCTGCAGTGTTTTGTCGATTTTTGTAAAATTGTGTTCTGGGATATTGTCATATTCCAATGTGTCATACATATTTCAAGGCTGAATGAAAAATATTTCACAAGTTCACTGAAACCTGTTCTAAAATAACAATAAAAGGCAATAAAAATGAAATGGGTGTAGGTTAGAGTATGCTTGGTTGATTCATTCTGGACTTTGACTCTGCAGCCTTCTCTCGCTTTAACACCTCAAGAGAAGAAACTCGGACACACACAGCAGGTACGTGAAATTTGTACAAGAAAAAACGTGTTTGTATGGATTATTTAAGACATTTTGTTTAACATCATCTTTAAATTCATAGCTGGTTCTTTTTGTACAAACTGCTATCTTCCTCAGAAACCTTCTTTTAAACAGCAGTTGATTTAGTAGCTCTGATCATTTGCTTCGAATGCACAAAATGAGGTCGCTGTCAGTCTTTGTAATGGTGAACAAGTGGATCATACTGCCCTACAAAGGCCAAAGGCAGTAACTTCAATTTTTTCAAAAATGAGTTTTTGTCATTTTTGGAATATTACAGATGTGCTTTATATTTTTATAACCACAGGTTATATGTACAGACCTATAAATCCATAAAAAAAATATCCTGTAATGTAAAATTTTCAGATATAAAAGCTGAAGATCCTAAAACAGAGATCAAGTGTTAATGTTTTACAGTGTCAGGAAAGTAATATTTTACTCAGTCGGTATCATAAAATGTTTGCCTCTGAGAGCAGAAAGATTAAACCATTGAGACAGTGCCTTCAATCTGTAAGTTTTTAAATAATTATATGCTCTAAATGATCAGTTTTTTTGTTCTTAAACAGATGATAAAACAGGGTTTGTTTTTGGGTGTGGCTACCTTTGGCAGGTTGCTACCATAACACCATAAAAAAGTTTAGTACAGCTTTACTGAAAAGCACTGTGCCTGCTTCTTGCTTGCCACAATAAGCATCCAGATCAATATTACAAGTACAGCATGTTAATAGCTTGCTATTATCTTGTTTCTGTTTGATAAACAGTCCCTCCCCTCCAGTCCTGCAATCTTGTTTAAATATGGTTGCATGTGGTACCAAAAACAACATAGCGATAGCTAAAATTTCAGACACAAGGACAACACATGGTGGGCCACAAACCAATGATAAGAGGTTACTTAGCCAGCATCCACTTCTACAGCCCATAGACTGAATGAAAACAGAAATGATAAACTACTAGCAGGCCTAGAAAAAGGTCACCTGTACTTTGCATTCAAATTGTTGAAGCATTATAAGTTAGCCTGAAGTCAAAATATCTACACAAAGCTCTTGTCTATTTCCTTCAAACATATTTTATCTTGAAATTTTCTGATTTCATTTCCAGGTCTCCAGGATGTGTCACATGACATTCTTCATCACTTTCCTGCTTCTGCTACCACAAAGATGTAAAGGTAACGTATTCACACATTGTCATTTTTTGTTTGTTAGTTTTCAAGTAAAAGGTTAAGAGTTAAGGCAAGGGCTAGTTTGTTCTATCTTAATGTTGACTATCACATATGAAGCAAGTCCAGAAACCATTTGACTGCAGTCAGCAGGGGGTCTTTAGTTTTACTGGTGTCATGTATGAATGACTCTTTAAAATGTGGCTCAACTATTCATGTTGTTGGTGTCTGAAGTTATCAAAGCACAAAGTCTGTTGTACAAAGAGATGCACGTACCAAACTGTTACTGAACACACACGTCATGACACTCAAAGCAGGACTTCCCCATGTGACCAATGAAGCCAATCTGGGACCCTCAATTCACTAGACAAAATCTCTTCCCAGGTCTCCTTGAAGTAATCGGTTCACCTCAACCAATACTGGCAATTGTTGGTGATGACATCATTTTGCCATGTCACCTAAGACCTGCCATGGATGCTGCTTCTAAGACTGTGGAGTGGACGAGACCAGACCTGAAACCAAGATTTGTACATGTGTGGCATTCTGGTAAAGAACTAGTACATGCTCAACATCCATCCTATGAGGGAAGAACATCACTGTTTATCAATGAACTGAAGAATGGAAATGTTTCCCTGAAACTCTCCAAGGTGAGACTGTCTGATAAGGGGAAATACAGATGCTTCCTTCCCTTGTCTGATATTCACTCTACTGTCGAGCTCGGCTTTGGTAAGTCATCAGTTGCTCAGCTTTACATTTATTCATGCACATAAGTCACTATTTAAACACATGATTGCAGGACCTGTTGCTGGGGGACCAGACTTGGGTGGGTGCTGGAGGAGTTCTGGTCCCAATTACTCACTATAGAACTGACCAATCATGTGTGAGCAAGCTTTAGTTGTTTGCAGGCAAACAATCCATACACCGTTTGCACAGTTAACTCATAGTTAGCTCTGTCTGTAAGCATGCTCTCTGTATATTTGATATGTATTTCATAATGAAGGCCGTGTTGTTTAACTCTCTATGTATAGCCTACTGCATCTGTCCTTGTCAAATAAACACCTAACCCTAACCCCCCTGACAACAGTACAGCATTATATACCTTTCTGTTTTTAACAATGTGCATTGTAGGCAGATATTTGTTTAAAGAGTACCAGTAGACGTAAACTCAAACCACATTATCACATTTAAAGTTGCTAGTCAACAATAGTTCACTTAGAGGTTATCCGTTATCCAAAATCTCTTCAAGCTACACTGGAAGTCAGGAAGTACTGGCTATCAGCCCCAGAGGCTAAACTATCCTCAGATGACAACCAATGGATTCTTGGTTCACTAAACTGTTGACTTCACGCTGAAGCTTCTTAGGGAGGCAAGTGTAAAAGCCCTGACACACCAAGCAGACGGCAAAGAACAAGTGGTGATGATGTCTGGCCAAAAAGTTGCACTACAACTGCAAAGATTACAGCTGATGGCCAACCACCACATACGTTATGCTAAAAGGCCAATGGGGGCCAATGGGTAGCAACTGACACACTGCAAAAACGAGGGCGACGAACTCTCACCAACGGTCCAACTAGGACCGACAGCCAACAATCTCCTTGGTGTGTCAGGGCCTTTAGGGTCTATATTGAACTACCCTTATATAAAAGCACTGGAACCTAAGGGTAATTATCTAAGCCACTCTATTAACATAAAAGTGTTAAAAATATACTGGTTAAAGCAGGGGCGTCGTAGTGGGGGGGAAAGTGGGACTGACTACCCAGGGCCCCAGTGGGGATGGGGGCCCTTCATGGGCCTGAAATAAAAATCTATTTCTTATTTAGCTTTATTTCTCTAAGTTATAACTGAAATAAGATAACTAAAATTGTCTGAATAAATGAACAAACATTCAGATTTCCTTTCTGGAAAAAATGTAGAGTCTCTTGACTGAATTGATCTATCAGCAGTCATTCGAGTCAGGAGTGAGAGATGTGGCAGGCTGCAGATTAAACCAGATTAAGCCAAGAATATCGTTTTGTTCAATTTGTGTTTTATGCATAAATTCAGTATATGAATCCCCTTCATAGATACGATTTTATATGACCCTATTTTGTGAAAATATTACATCGCGGTAAAAAAGAGTCCACTTTGGAGCAATATTTAGCTACAGTAACATGTTTGATATCAACAGATTCTTTGTAAACTGTCAATTCATATGATACCAATGTTGTCGTGCTAGCAGCAAAACTGAGTCTGCTACTTTTGCCCAAAAAACAATATTTTGAAGTCAGAACAGAGAAGAACTAGCCTATTATAGCCTCATTTTAAAGTGATGGTAGAATCTAATTAGGATTTATTGTTTGTTTACATTTTATCATTAATGCCAGTAGAATTTTTAATTCAATAAGCTAACCAATAAGATCACTTTAGACAATAAAAGCCTTTAGAACATTAACTATAACAAGTTCATAATTAAAATAATGCTGCTGGAAATGTTTCAAATGTCTGAAAGGTGCATATATTACAAAGTTTAAATTATTTTTAAGCTATGAGGAAATATTACAGTGATGATTTATCTTCCATTTTCAGGGTGTAAAACAAGGCATAGTTGTTCAAAGTTTTTATGGGTCATTTGTGTGATGGTCATAGAAGTTTTCTGGGTTAGTTTGGACCGTGGTAGGGGCCCAATGTGATATCTTTTCACGGGGCCCCTGGGTTAGAGTTATAATGACAACAAACATATATGAATGTATACAGTATGTGTGTGAGTGTGCAACATCTATTTTAACACCTGTAAAAACAAAAGTATTACTAATGAAACACGTACAAGTGATTCAGATATTTCATGGGTACATGGACAATGAGGAGTTAAAGAACAGCAGCTAAATATTTATAAGAATGTGTTTTCACAGTAATATGTGATCAGTGTCTAAGATGAGCTAAAATCAAATTAATAAAACTTTATTTGTATTAATCTGTTGATTAAACATCTTTTTATTTCAATTAATTAGGTTCTGCGTCCTCACTGACCGTGAGCATTTCCAAAACCAGCAGTGGAGTGGATCTTCAATGTAAATCTGAAGGCTGGTATCCAGAGCCTGAGGTGTTGTGGCTGGACGGTGAGGGAAACCTCTTCTCTGCTGGATCTACAGAGATCATCAGAGGTCCCAATGATCTCTATACTATTAGCAGCAGAGTGACTGTGGAGAGGAGACACAACAACATGTTCACCTGTAGAGTCACACAGAACAACATCAACCAGACCAGAGAGACACAGATACATGTTCCAGGTAGATAAATTATTAATCAGTCATTGTTGTTGTTTCTTCTTCAATTACAGACAGTTAATGTTAAGCTCTGTTAAGTAATTTGGCTCGTGTTTTATCATTTCAGATGAGCTCTTCATGGTCCAGTCTAGTTCTATTATCACCATCACCATCTGTGTCATTGTGTGCTTAGTGTCGATCGTTGCAGTTGTTCTTGTTGTGAGGAAATGTGGACAAAACAAGAGTAAGTGTCATCTTTATTGAACTTCTTTCAAAAAGTTATTTTACATCAGTTCTGTTGAGGGTTAATTTCTCAGACACAACACAAGTCATCCAATGTGATCTCAGCCTTTACAACATCCAGTGCAGGTATATCACTTTACCTGTACCGTGGCCACTTACCAACAATATGTCAACATCAGATTTCTGTGAACCCTACTTTCCCACCCTGAAACCCCTCTCCCAAATGGGAAGACAACATAGTAACACAGGTCTGAACTAAACACATGCCTTTTCTTTTAATGTAGAAAACAAGAAGCACCATGAGGGTGAGACTGACCTGGGAGAAAAAAAAATGTTCAGACATGACATTGAACATCAGCTTCTGTTGGAGAAAGAAGGAGACGTAGATCAACCCATGACTGGAAATGAGAAGATGAAGTTATTAGATAATATAAAGGCTAAAAAAGATGAGAAGTTAGAGGAGAAAGAGAAAGAACTGGAACTTGTACAACAGGTGATTACAACAGTGATGGAGCAGAAGAAGGATCTGAAGATACAGAGAGCTCAAATACAGCAGGAAGACATGGTACTGATAGAGAAGAACCCGAAGAAAGTGAAAGACACCTTTGGTTTAAAAAAGAAAAAAAAAAGACCAAAGAGGATCTGGAGAAGAGAAAGACAATACATGATGACATGTTAAAGAACACAGAGACCCAACTGAAGTCAACAGATGTTTTGATTAACGCAATGACTTTGAGGAAAGGGAAACTAGAGAATGATAAGGAACAAATCCAAAAGTACCTCAAAGAAAAAGAGAGAAAGAGAAAAGAGGTTCAGAGAGAAGAGGTTCAGAGAGAAGAGGTTCAGAAACAGATTCAGAGAGAAGAGGTTCAGAGAGAAGAGGTTCAGAGAGAAGAGGTTCAGAAACAGAGAGAAGAGCTTCAGAAACAGAGAACAGTGCTTCAGAGACAGAGAGCAGGGTTTCGGAGACAGAAAACAGAGCTTCAGAGACAGAGCAGAGCTTCAGAGACAGAGAGAAGAGCTTCAGAGACAGAGCAGAGCTTCAGAGACAGAGCAGAGCTTCAGAGACAGAGAGAAGAGCTTCAGAGACAGAGCAGAGCTTCAGAGACAGAGCAGAGCTTCAGAAACAGAGAGAAGAGCTTCAGAGACAGAGAGAAGAGCTTCAGAGACAGAGCAGAGCTTCAGAGACAGAGCAGAGCTTCAGAGACAGAGAGAAGAGCTTCAGAGACAGAGCAGAGCTTCAGAGACAGAGCAGAGCTTCAGAAACAGAGAGAAGAGCTTCAGAGACAGAGAGAAGAGCTTCAGAGACAGAGCAGAGCTTCAGAGACAGAGCAGAGCTTCAGAGACAGAGAGAAGAGATTCAGAGACAGAGCAGAGCTTCAGAGACAGAGCAGAGCTTCAGAGACAGAGCAGAGCTTCAGAAACAGAGAGAAGGGCTTCAGAGACAGAGCAGAGCTTCAGAGACAGAGAGAAGAGCTTCAGAAACAGAGAGAAGAGATTCAGAGAAAGAGAGAAGAGGAGGAAAAGATTACAAAGGAACGTGAAACACAGTCTCCAGAGGGAGGGGACGTAAGAAATAATCCATCTTCCAGCACTAACATTCAACATTCAAAATATTTTCTTCATCTGCAGCGTTGTTAGCTGAAGTAATCAAACATGAATCATTCTCGACCAGATGTGACCACAGTAAATTTTGGTCATTTATAAAGGTTGTGATTCATCTTTATGATTTATCTTGTGTGATATCAGTGTTTTTTTAAATGTCCTCTATGGATTCATGGTTTGACTTTTAATACATGTTTTTAAAAAAATGTTTTACTGATTAATTCAAATGTCCTTGTCTTTTTGTTTGATTCAGAGTTAAATAAATCACATTTTCTGGAGTTTTCAAGCTGACTTGGTTTTATAAGAGGGTTCATTTATATTTATAAAAACTGATTTTGTTACATTTGAAGAAAATGTTTGCATGTAATGAAAAATAAATAAATACATTTCAGTCATGACTTCTCTCTGAGATATCTTCTCTTTTCATATTAGGATTTTAAATGTAGACACAAGAACTATTGCTGGAATACACAAATGATAAAATAATTTAGTAAATGCATGCAATTATTTGGTGTAATACACCAAGAGGAAAACATAAGGTGTTTTCAGACCAAACAGTTCTGTGGACTTTTTGAAGAGGAGTTTCCTGACAACATAAAACCATGAGGACTTTTTTTCTGTCTGAATTGGCACCGTCATGGTACCTACTCTGAAGCAGGGTCTAAAAAGGTTCCTCTAAACGGGGTTCTAGGAACTAAAATAGGTCCTAGTTCCTGCGATGTGGAATCAATAAAAGAGGAGGAGGGTTCCAACAGTTTTTAGAAGTATGAAAAATTCCTGCCGTCTGAAAACACCTATAGGGAGCTAATAAAGACTACTCTGTGTAATCCACATACCGTCAGACTAGTGAGGATCAGGATTGAAGTTGAAGGACTTGTCACGTCTAGTTTAATCATTACAGATATCAATTATTTGGGATTATTCTACTTTTGACCCCCCTCCTCCCCATCAATCTATACATCCATATATGATGGATGTATAGATTGTTTTTTTACTAAGAAAATGATGCATGTATTTTTGTCAAAATCTTTTTCTCTGAAATGTTAAAATGATTAAATGAGGAAAATATGATAGGACTGATTTTTATTGTTGGGTTGCAAAAAAAAATATGAACAGAGTATCTGCAGAAATCACAGTGTTGTTTTAGTGTGTTATACATTACATTTCTGTGCTGGAACTCCAAATACTGCACAGAAGATAGTTTATTTTCAGTATTTTTATAGTTCAATAAAGTCATTTATTATTTTAAATTCACTGAGTCCCCAAAGTAAAATGACTTTGGTAGCTGGAAAGAACACCTTAAAATCAGTTGACTGTGAAAGAAAGTGGCACTGTTAAGCTCTGACGGCTAATATAACAAGTGCTCCTTCTCATTAAACCTTGTTTTGTTGTAACTGTTAAATAATTTCACAATGCAATCAAAGAATCACGTCATCGTGGCAGCCTTCAAAAGAGACAAAGATTTGCCAATGATTATCATACGTTAACACATTTACACGGAAGTCGAACGTCCATTTGATCTTCTCTTCAATTGTGGAGGCTTCTTTTCTTGTTGGGGAGAAAAAGGGATCAGCAGGTCAGTGTAGATTACTAATTAAATTATTGTTAGTGCTTATTTAAATCAAATGTAACTTCATTTTCAACATTTGTGAAGAAACAGATCAAAGTGAGATCTCATTTGATCACACAACGCTTGCTGACTGTAACCTTTATTTGCTTAAGCAGTTTGAACAAACCACAGGTTATCTGTACAGACCTATAAATCCATGAAAAAAATATACTGTAATATCAAATTTTCAGATATAAAAGCTGAAGATCTTAAAAAAGAGATCAAGTGTTAATGTTTTACTGATCATGTGCAAGAACAAAAAAAAGAACATGTTTAAAAAACAACAAATGGAAGCTGAAGATTTCTCTCTTTTCTTAAATTGCCGATCATTTGAAAATGATTACAGCGTGCTTTCCTGCAAAGTGTTTCAGCCATTTCTCTTTTTTCAGAGCACGACTTTCATTTCAAGTTTTCAGATATATTTTAGACTTTTTTGGTGCAGTTTATAACAGAGTTTTTTTCTTTGAATTTTCAGCATTACAGAATGATTAACACGAAGTACGGACACCTCGGTGACTTCAGGGCGTTGGTCGTCATGCAACACTCTCTGGTCCTTTTTATTGTGACATGTTCTTGTGGAGGTAAAATACAAATACATGTTGAAAGGTCTTGATGAGAGTAATTATACTCGTATAGCTTGCATTAGTAAGCCACATTTTAAATACTTTTATTGTGCTCGGTATTGATTGGAGGTGTTACCGAATTTGGAAGTGATAAATAAATCTCATCTTAACTTTCCATTTAAACTCCTTCCATGTGGGGCTATTTGTTGTCATGTGTCCCCTTTTTTACATGATAGGATCCATTTCTCATCCAAAATAATGGTGTTCATCACTAGTTCCCACTTCTCATTGACATATGACTATTTCAAGACTAAAAGAGTAGAGAATGTGTTTTATTTATATGATCCTGGATTAAAAGTAAAAGTCCAATCCAAAAAAAACATGGTCTGATTTCTTTGCCTTTAGGTCATTCTCAGGTGATTGGTTCGTCTCAACCAATAGTGGCAATAGCTGGTGATGATGTAATTTTGCCTTGTCAACTTGAGCCTGCTGTGGATGCTCGTGAAATGACAGTGGAGTGGGCAAGACCTGACCTGAAGCCCAAGTATGTCTTCTTGAGGCGAGACGGCACAGAGCTTCAACGGGACAAACATCCGATGTACAAGGGGAGAACATCACTGTCTGAAGATAAACTGAGGTGTGGAGACATTTCACTGAAACTCACCGAGGTGAAACTCTCTGATTCAGGAGCATACAGGTGCCTTGTTCTTGGAACCAACAAAGAATATGTTATTAAGCTGACTGCAGGTAAGTTTGCATTTATCCATTGTGCACACATTATTATTATGCAGAGATAGAGTAGTATGTTAGGTATGGTAGTTCATTGAAATGGTTGTATTGGTTCACTCTGTCTTGAACTGGACTTTTTCCTGCCAGCCTCAAAGTCTTCAAGGAGTTAGGGTTTATCCTTCTAATGCTTGCTGCAGTTGCAGAATATTGTTTTCTTCTCTTGTGTTTGCATTGCTGGAAACATCCTCTTATCATACACTCTACCCAGCTCCCTGCAGCATCCATTATGTGACATCTGAATGAGACAACAAGAAAAGCACAAAGGGCTTACTTGGGGACTGACAAGATGTCGTACTTTAGTTGGCCACAAGCTGGGATTTTCTTTCTTGTTTCAAATGTTTAACCTGACTACTTTTTTGGACATTTTTCCTCGTGATTAGGTTCTGTATCTTTACCGACCGTGAGCATTTCCAAAGCCAGCAGTGGAGTGGATCTTCAATGTAAATCTGAAGGCTGGTATCCAGAGCCTGAGGTGTTGTGGCTGGACGGTGATGGAAACCTCCTCTCTGCTGGATCTACAGAGATCATCAGAGGTCCCAATAATCTCTATACTGTCAGCAGCAGAGTGACTGTGGAGAGGAGACACAACAACATGTTCACCTGTAGAGTCACACAGAACAACATCAACCAGACCAGAGAGACACTCATACATGTTTCAGGTAAATAAATTATTAATCTTTCATTGATGTTGTTAATTCTTCAGTTACAGACAGTTAATGTTAAACTCTGTAAAGTAATTTGTTATGTGTTTTATCATTTCAGATGAGCTCTTCATGGTCCAGTCTAGTTCTATTATCCCCATCACAATCTGTGTCATTGTGTGCTTAGTGTCGATCGTTGCAGTTGTTCTTGTTGTGAGGAAATGTAGACAAAACAAGAGTAAGTGTCATCTTTATTGAACTTCTTTCAAAAAGTTATTTTACATCAGTTCTGTTGAGAGTTCATTTCTTAGACACAAAACAAGTCATCCAATGTGATCTCAGCCTTTACAACATCCAGTGCAGGTATATCACCTTACCTGTACCGTGGCCACTTACCAACAATATGTCAATATCAGATTTCTGTGAACCCTACTTTCCACCCTGAAACCCCTCTCCCAAATGGGAAGACAACATAGTAACACAGGTCTGAACTAAACACATGCCACAGGGGCGGCAGTAGCTCAGTCTTTAGGGACTTGGGTTGCAAACCGGAGGGTCACCGGTTAAAGTCCCGGTGCGGACCATTGAAGTTGGTCTGGTAGCTGGAGAGGTGCCAGATCACTTCCTGAGCACTGCCGAGGTGCCCTTGAGCATGGCACCAAACCCCCTCCCCACCACCAGCTCAGGAGCGCCCGCTGTGGGCAGCTCTGTCACTCTGACATCTCTCCATTAGTGCATATCCATAGGATCCTGTTTGTGTGCATGTGTGTATATACTTCAGCCTATATGTGTGTGTTGCATGAATACAGAGTGTAAAATATGAATTATCAAGAAAAAAAAGTAAATCTTTAACTTTTTTTCTTTTAATTTAGAAAGCAAGAAGCACCATGAGGGTGAGACTGACCTGGGAGAAAGAAAAATGTTCAAACATGACAGTAAGAAGTTAAAGATGAAAGAGAAAGAACTGGAACATGTACAACAGGTGATTACAACACTGACGGAGCAGAAGAAGAATCTGAAGATACTGACAGAGAAAATCATCTCAATACAGCAGGAAGACATGTTACAGATAGACGAGAACCTGAACAAACTGAACGACACTTGGTTGAACAAACTTTTTTTTAACAAAGAAAAAAAAAATGATCTTGAAAAGACCAGAGATGATCTGAAGATTGTATATAGTGACCTGTCAAAGAACACAGAGACACAACTGAAGTCAACAGATGATTTGATTAACACAATGACTGAGAGGAAAAGGAAACTAGCAAACAAATCATAAAGTACCTCAAAGAAACAGAGAGGAAGAGAGAAGAGGTTCAGAGGCAGATCCAAAGAGAAGAGAGAAGAGAAAGAGAGAAGAGGAGGAAAAGATTACAAAGGAACATGAAACACAGTCGCTAGAGGGAAGGGACGTAAGAAATAATCCATCTTCCAGCACTAACATTCAATAGTATTATTTTATATATATATAAAATAATACTATATATTTTCTTCATCTGCAGCGTTATTAGCTGAAGAAATCAAACATGAATCATTCTCGACCAGATGTGACCACAGTTCATTTTGGTCATTACTAAAGGTTGTGATTCATCTTTATGATTTATCTTGTGTGATATCAGTGTTTTTTTAAATTTCCTCTATGGATTCATGGTTTGACTTTTAATACATGTTTTTTAAAAAATGTTTTACTGATTAATTCAAATGTCCTTGTCTTTTTGTTTGATTCAGAGTTAAATAAATCACATTTTCTGGAGTTTTCAAGCTGACTTGGTTTTATAAGAGGGTTCATTTATATTTATAAAAACTGATTTTCTTACATTTGAAGAAAATGTTTGCATGTAATGAAAAATAAATAAATACATTTCAGTCATGACTTCTCTCTGAGATATCTTCTCTTTTCATATTAGGATTTTAAATGTAGACACAAGAACTATTGCTGGAATACACAAATGATAAAATAATTCAGTAAATGCATGCAATTATTTGGTGTAATACACCAAGAGGAAAACATAAGGTGTTTTCAGACCAAACAGTTCTGTGGACTTTTTGAAGAGGAGTTTCCTGACAACATAAAACCATGAGGACTTTTTTTCTGTCTGAATTTGCACCGTCATGGTTCCTACTCTGAAGCAGGGTCTAAAAAGGTTCCTCTAAACGGGGTTCTAGGAACTAAAATAGGTCCTAGTTCCTGCGATGTGGAATCAATAAAAAAGGAGGAGGGTTCCAACAGTTTTTAGAACAATTTAAAATTCCTGCCGTCTGAAAACACCTATAGGGAGCTAATAAAGACTACTCTGTGTAATACACATACCGTCAGAATAGTGAGGATCAGGATTGAAGTTGAAGGACTTGCCACGTCTAGTTTAACCATTACAGATATCAATTATTTGGGATTATTCTACTTTTGACCCCCCTCCTCCCCATCACCAGAGGTTTTCAGTTGGTTGTTTACTAAGAAAATGATGCATGTATTTTTGTGAAAATCTTTTTCTCAGAAATGTTAAAATGATTAGATGAGGAAAATATGATAGGACTGACTTTTATTGTTGGGTTGCAAAAAAAAATATGAACAGAGTATCCGCAGAAATCACAGTGTTGTTTCAGTGTGTTATACATTACATTTCTGCACTGGAACTCGAAATACTGCACAGAAGATAGTTTATTTTTATAGTTCAATAAAATCATTTATTATTTTAAATTCACTGAGTCCCTAAAGTAAAATGACTTTGGTAGCTGGAAAGGGAAAAGATCAGAATACCTTAAAATCAGTTTACTGTGAAAGAAAGTGGCACTGTTAAGGTCTGACGGCTAATATAACAAGAGCTCCTTCTCATTAAACCTTGTTTTGTTGAAACTGTTAAATAATTTCACAATGCAATCAAAGAATCACGTCATTGTGGCAGCCTTCAAAAGAGACAAAGATTTGCCAATGATTATCATACGTTAACACATTTACATGGAGGTTGAACGTCCATTTGATCTTCTCTTCAATTGTGGCGGCTTCTTTTCTTATTGGCAAGAAATTGACTCAAATCAATATTCGCATTTTGTGAAGAAACAGATCAAAGTGAGATCTCATTTGATCACACAACGCTTGCTGACTGTAACCTTTATTTGCTTAAGCAGTTTGAACAAACCACAGGTTATATGGACAGACCTATAAATCCATGGAAAAAATATATTGTAATATCAAATTTTCAGATATAAAAGCTGAAGATCTTAAAAAAGAGATCAAGTGTTAATGTTTTACAGTGTCAGGAAAGTCATATTTAACTCAGTCTGTATCATAAAATGTTTGCCAGATTAAAGATTAAACCATTGAGACACTGCCTTCAATCTGTAAGTTTTTAAATAATGATGTGCTCTAAATGATCAGTTTTTTTCAGTTTAAGTGTCATCTTTATTGAAAAAGTTAATTGTACGTCTTGTCCAGGTGAGTTGAATCATTTTATCTTGCTTACACAACGATCCACAATCTGCCATGTCTGTAAATTAGAAGTATAAATGGCTTACGACAGATTTCTGTGAACCCTACTTTCTGACCCTGAATTTTCCCTCCCAAACGGGAAGACAACATAGTAACACAGGTCTGAACTAAACACATGCCTTTTCTTTTAATATAGAAATCAAGAAGCACCATGAGGGTAAGACTGACCTGGGAGAAAGAAAAATGTTCAGACATGACATTGAACATCAGCTTCTGTTGGAGAAAGAAGGAGACAGAGATCAACCCATGACTGGAAATGAGAAGAAGAAGTTATTAGATAATATAAAGGCTAAACAAGATGAGAAGTTAGAGAAGAAAGAGAAAGAACTGCAACTTGTACAACAGGTGATTACAACACTGACGGAGCAGAAGAAGGATCTGAAGACACAGAGAGCGAAACTCATCTCACTACAGCAGGAATACATGGTACTGATAGAGACCACTAATGCTTCAGAAAAAAAGAAGAAGAAACGTGAAAAGATCAAAGAGGATCTGGAGAAGAGAAAGACAATACATGATGACATGTTAAAGAACACAGAGACACATCTGGACTCAACAGATGCTTTGATTAACACAATGACTGAGAGGAAAGGGAAACTAGAGAATGATAAGGAACAAGAAACAGAGAGGAAGAGAGAAGACGTTCAGATAGAAGAGATTCAGAGACAGAGAGACGAGAGAAGAGGAGGAAAATAAAGATCTCTGAACTGAACAATCATTCCTCTGCTAACATCCTCCTGTTTGAGTAAAACAGTGTGGACATACGACAACACTCCGTTGCGTCATGTAAATGCTTCCTTGATTGAAATTTATTTTTTGACGTTATTGTTTTTCATAATGTTGCCTGTATCTACTTACTGTAAAACTTCTATTAAAAGCTCAGGCTTTTATTTCCTTTCAGTCTATGAAATGAACCTGCGTTTCTTTGGGACAGACATCAATCAGAGACGAGCTCGTGCACAGCAGCAATGATGCTGAAGACTTTAAAACTGTAAATTTACACCAGAAAGAATGTTTAACTGTTAATCATTACATTTACATTTATATCTATTTTCAAGTGTGTATAGAAGAATCGTTTATCATGTAACCTTGAACACACACAGAAGACAAACAAAGACAGATAACTTAAAAGTTTTAAGAAGCTGTTAGCTTTCTACTAAATTAATGAAAATGTTTGATTGGCTTGATGCATTTACTTTTGTTTTGTGTTTTATTTTGTCTGCAGTGTTTTGTCGATTTTTGTAAAATTGTGTTCTGGGATATTGTCATATTCCAATGTGTCATATATATTTCAAGGCTGAATGAAAAATATTTCACAAGTTCACTGAAACCTGTTCTAAAATAACAATAAAAGGCAATAAAAATGAAATGGGTGTAGGTTAGAGTATGCTTGGTTGATTCATTCTGGACTTCGACTCTGCAGCCTTCTCTCGCTTTAACACCTCAAGAGAAGAAACTCAGACACACACAGCAGGTACGTGAAATTTGTACAAGAAAAAACGTGTTTGTATGGATTATTTAAGACATTTTGTTTAACATCATCTTTAAATTCATAGCTGGTTCTTTTTGTACAAACTGCTATCTTCCTCAGAAACCTTCTTTTAAACAGCAGTTGATTTAGTAGCTCTGATCATTTGCTTCGAATGCACAAAATGAGGTCGCTGTCAGTCTTTGTAATGGTGAACAAGTGGATCATACTGCCCTACAAAGGCCAAGGCAGTAACTTCAATTTTTTCAAAAATGAGTTTTTGTCATTTTTGGAACATTACAGATGTGCTTTATATTTTTATAACCACAGGTTATATGTACAGACCTATAAATCCATGAAAAAATATACTGTAATGTAAAATTTTCAGATATAAAAGCTGAAGATCCTAAAACAGAGATCAAGTGTTAATGTTTTACAGTGTCAGGAAAGTCATATTTAACTCAGTCGGTGTTATAAAATGTTTGCCTCTGAGAGCAGAAAGATTAAACCATTGAGACAGTGCCTTCAATCTGTAAGTTTTTAAATAATTATGCTCTAAATGATCAGTTTTTTTGTTCTTAAACAGATGATAAAACAGGGTTTGTTTTTGGCCGTGGCTACCTTTGGCAGGTTGCTACCATGGCACCTTAAAAAAGTTTAGTACAGCTTTACTGAAAAGCACTGTGCCTGCTTCTTGCTTGCCACAATAAGCATCCAGATCAATATTACAAGTACAGCATGTTAATAGCTTGCTATTATCTTGTTTCTGTTTGATAAACAGTCCCTCCCCTCCAGTCCTGCCATCTTGTTTAAATATGGTTGCATGTGGTACCAAAAACAACATAGCGATAGCTAAAATTTCAGACACAAGGACAACACATGGTGGACCACAAATCAATGATAAGAGGTTACTTAGCCAGCATCCACTTCTACAGCCCATAGACTGAATGAAAACAGAAATGATAAACTACTAGCAGGCCTAGGAAAAGGTCACCTGTATTTTGCATTCAAATTGTTGAAGCATTATAAGTTAGCCTGAAGTCAAAATATCTACACAAAGCCCTTGTCTATTTCCTTCAAACATATTTTATCTTGAAATTTTCTGATTTCATTTCCAGGTCTCCAGGATGTGTCACATGACATTCTTCATCACTTTCCTGCTTCTGCTACCACAAAGATGTAAAGGTAACGTATTCACACATTGTCATTTTTTGTTTGTTAGTTTTCAAGTAAAAGGTGAAGAGTTAAGGCAAGGGCTAGTTTGTTCTGTCTTAATGTTGACTATCACATGTGAAGCAAGTACAGAAACCATTTGACTGCAGTCAGCAGGGGGTCTTTAGTTTTACTGGTGTCATGTATGAATGACTCTAAAATGTGGCTCAACTATTCATGTTGTTGGTGTCTGAAGTTATCAAAGTACAAAGTCTGTTGTACAAAGAGATGCACGTACCAAACTGTTACTGAACACACACGTCATGACACTCAAACAGGACTTCCCCATGTGACCAATGAAGCCAATCTGGGACCCTCAATTCACTAGACAAAATCTCTTCCCAGGTCTCCTTGAAGTAATCGGTTCACCTCAACCAATACTGGCAATTGTTGGTGATGACATCATTTTGCCATGTCACCTAAGACCTGCCATGGATGTTGCTTCTAAGACTGTGGAGTGGACGAGACCAGACCTGAAACCAAGATTTGTACATGTGTGGCGTTCTGGTCAAGATCTACTAGATGCCCAACATCCATCCTATGAGGGAAGAACATCACTGTTTATCAATGAACTGAAGAATGGAAATGTTTCCCTGAAACTCTCCAAGGTGAGACTGTCTGATAAGGGGAAATACAGATGCTTCCTTCCCATGTCTGATAGTCACTCTACTGTCGAGCTCGGCTTTGGTAAGTCATCAATTGCTCAGCTTTACATTTATTCATGCACATAAGTCACTATCTAAACACATGATTGCAGGACCTGTTGCTGGGGGACCAGACTTGGGTGGGTGCTGGAGGAATTCTGGTCCCAATTATTATTCTCATTATAGAACTGACCAATCATGTGTGAGCAAGCTTTAGTTGTTTGCAGGCAAACAATCCATACACCATTTGCACAGTTAACTCATAGTTAGCTCTGTCTGTAAGCATGCTCTCTGTATATTTGATATGTATTTCATAATGAAGGCCGTGTTGTTTAACTCTCTATGTATAGCCTATTGCATCTATCCTTGACAAATAAACACCTAACCCTAACCCCCCTGACAACAGTACAGCATTATATACCTTTCTGTTTTTAACAATGTGCATTGTAGGCAGATATTTGTTTAAAGAGTACCAGTAGACGTAAACTCAAACCACATTATCACATCTAAAGTTGCTAGTCAACAATAGTTCACTTAGAGGTTATCCGTTATCCAAAATCTCTTCAAGCTACACTGGAAGTCAGGAAGTACTGGCTATCAGCCCCAGAGGCTAAACTATCCTCAGATGACAACCAATGGATTCTTGGTTCACTAAACTGTTGACTTCACGCTGAAGCTTCTTAGGGAGGCAAGTGTAAAAGCCCTGACACACCAAGCAGACGGCAAAGAACAAGTGGTGATGATGTCTGGCCAAAAAGGTTGCACTACAACTGCAAAGATTACAGCTGACGTCCAACCACCACGTACGTTCTGCTAAAAGGCCAATGGGGGCCAATGGGTAGCGACTGACACACTGCAAAAACTAGGGTGACGAACTCTCACCAACGGTCCAACTAAGACCGACAGCCAACAATCTCCTTGGTGTGTCAGGGCCTTTAGGGTCTATATTGAACTACCCTTATATAAAAGCACTGGAACCTAAGGGTAATTATCTAAGCCACTCTAATAACATGAAAGTGTTAAAAATATACTGGTTAGAGCAGGGGCGTCGTAGTGGGGGGGAAAGTGGGACTGACTACCCAGGGCCCCAGTGGGGAGGGGGGCCCTTCATGGGCCTGAAATAAAAATCTATTTCTTATTTAGCTTTTTTTCTCTAAGTTATAACTGAAATAAGATCACTAAAATTGTCTGAATAAATGAACAAACATTCAGAATTCCTTTCTGGAAAAAATGTAGAGTCTGTCTCAAAGGCCCCTCTCCCCCCTTCTGATTGCTAGAATTAGATCGCATCTCGATGACTGAATTGCAGTCATTCGAGTCAGGAGTGAGAGATGTGGCAGGCTGCAGATTAAACCAGATTAAGCCAAGAATATCGTTTTGTTCAATTTGTCGCGGTAACCCTAACCCCCCTGGCAGTAAAAAAGAGTCCACTTTGGAGCGATATTTAGCTACAGTAACATATTTGATATCAACAGATTCTTTGTAAACTGTCAATTCATATGATACCAATGTTGTCGCACTAGCAGCAAAACTGAGTCCGCTACTTTTGCCCAAAAAACAATATTTTGAACGTCAGGTGAGACAAATGATAATGCAGTTTAAGAAGAATAAAGTGAAGTCAGAACAGAGAAGAACTAGTCTATTATAGCCTCATTTTAAAGTGATGGTAGAATCTAATTCAGATTTATTGTATGTTTACATTTTATCATTAATGCCAGTAGAATTTTTAATTCAATAAGCTAACCAATAAGATCACTTTAGACAATAAAAGCCTTTAGAACAATAACTATAACAAGTTCATAATTAAAATAATGCTGCTGGAAATGTTTCAAATGTCTGAAAGGTGCATATATTACAAAGTTAAAATTATTTTTAAGCTATGAGGAAATATTACAGTGATTATTT